GTATCTGGCTGGCGGTGGTGGGATCAAAATTCTGGCCTCACTAGTCTTTGGTCTGATCCAGCTCAGCACTTACTATGTTCTAGAAATGAGCATAGCCCTCCAGCCATATAAAACAGCACACCTGATGTTCCAAAAACAAACAAACCCTGTCTAATCTAACTGTAGTACGAGGGTTGTCAAGTATCTGACATTCTGCAATACATGGTGCTGAAGCACCTTCAATTTGATAGGTCACAAGCTGTGTAGGTCATACTGAAGGGCAAATTACTCATTTTAATGGAATTTTAATCACAGAACTGATCAGTTAAAGTGATAAACTAAAAATTATCTACTAAGTTGGCTGCTCTAGTACATAGTGTTACTGGCAAGCTGGTCCCAAACCACTTGGCTGTGAGCCTGTGCATGCTCCTTTTGAAGGTTCCACCAAAATCCATGGGATTCACTTCCAGAAGATGTGCTACATGCTGTTTTAAAATATATAATCAGCTTGCATATTCATATCCTGGACCTGAACAAATCGGTAAGAAAGCATTCAACTTGTTTATCACTCCTGAGGTGGGGGCTTATTTCTGTGTAATTATGCCCAAGATCTGAGTAACTATATGCTTATGACCAAGCCTGAAGGCATGTGTGCACTCCCCCCCTCAAACTGCTTTTCCATCAGAACAGAACAATGCTCTTTGAGTAGCATGCCACATATTTCTGTTGCCATTCTACTGCTCACATTGCAACCTCTTGGCCCACATGTTAAGGAACAGTACATCTGGGTTATTCCTTTGGACCATGGGAATGGGTCTGTCTGCACCTGTGCCATCCTTCTGTACTACTCAAAACGAAAACACTAACAAGTGGAGACCTGCAAGATTTTGTCTATAAGGCTTAAGACTTTTGCACATGCACAGCTTCAATAGCTCATCTACTCCACACAGAAGCCTCAGACTTTGTAGTCACTAAACTACATAGCGCAGGGGTCTCAAACTCGCGGCCCGCGGGCCAATTGTGGCCCCCCACTTGATATCAAAGTTTAGTGATAGTGCGGCCCGCACGTTTTTCTCACACGCACCTGCGTGAGTCGCTACCCTGGGCACAATGTTCCCTCTAAGCTGCGCACCGGGACGGGCAGGGCATGGGGGAGGGACCCTGCGGCCTTCACAGCGCCGGTGGCGCCCGGGCCGGCCTCTGGGAGCGACGCGGGATTAGCGGCCCACCACCACCGCGGGGGTGCAATACTTGATGCGGCCCAGCCTCACCCAGACTCTACTTCCAGCGGCCCCCAGGTAAGTTGAGTTTGAGACCCCTGACATAGAGCTTTCCAAGCATTAATCCCTCCCCCCCCACACACACAAACACTCCCATTCATTCATTCCTCCCTCTCACATCTACACACTGCTAGGCTTGGGAACTACACGCCACTGGCCAATTGCTGGGGACAAATAGAATAGGAAGGGCTCTTTATCTGCAAACCTGTTGGTGCGTTTCCCACAGACATCTAGCTGGTCACTGTGGAAAGCTGGGAAGTGGGCAAGATGGACCTTTGGAATGGTCTAAAAGGGCTTTTATGTTCTTAACAGACTTGGGACAGTGAGAATGGGGCTCACAGAGATCACGCACTCACACAGTACCATGCTTCTTTCCATACAACCATACACAATCTGCAACACAGTGAAAGTGCCTTCTAGCAGTTGTACCAGCTTTTTGCAGGTATAATTTTTAGTGTTAATGAGACAGAAGGAAATCTGATATGCCAATCATGAAACTGCAATAGAAAAAGAAAAGTAGTACAGACTATTACTTCAAATTCAGAAAACCTGCCATTTCCAGAACTTTTTTTAAAGCAACCATATGGAAAGAGGTATGAAGTGCCTTACCCATTTCAGCTCATGGAATGTAATAACAGTCTATACAACACTCATGGATTAAAAGGTGTATGAATTCTCACGCCCCAGCACTCTTTGATTGTTGTTCCTATCAGTTTCTACTTCTTTAAAGAAAAGAGAAAAGGAAACAAAAAACTGCCAGACCCAGGAAAAATAAAAGTCACTCTTTGTTGACATATTAGATATGGTATTAGAAAGTTACCCGCATCTGACTCACAACCTACCATGTTATACAGAAAAAAAATGGAAACACAGACAGTGAATTCCCAAGGTAGGTTAAAAACTAATAAAGCCTATGTTCATCCCTTAAGAAGTCATACGATTCTTATTTTGGCTACAAAAAGTTACCCTCTGTGATTTACTGCTACAGAGCGCCAAAAGGAGTACCAGTTTCAATCTGCAGCACATTGCCCAAAGGGCAGCGAGCTAGTTAAAACCACCACATACTACAGAACTGGCCTGGTTTGGATCTGCTCTGGAAATTTAGAGATTCCCTGCAGTGCTAAGATATTACTTAGCCCTAAGCTTGTCATTGGGGGCATGTGGCAGCCTGGGGTTAGTTTCCCTCTCCCCACTGTTAAAACACCCCCACAAAGGACCTGTTAGCCAACCAAGTAGGTACGGATCACAAGACAGCCTTCTTGCTTCTGCTGTTTCTAACAAGCTGAATGTATTGGCCCTAAGACACAAGAGCAAAAGATAGGCAGACGCATTTTTAATGTCTGGCAGCGGCACCTGTCAAAGATTTTGCTTTTCGCCATTCATTTATACCAAGGAACCACACTTTCTGAAAGTACCTTTCGCTCTCCACGCATTCCGGAGTACTTTGACGTGGAGTTTTATAATTCACCCAATGGCAAGGCAAAGATGCTCCCTACAGCGTTTCCACTGTGGGTCTCTCTCTTACCACTCGCCCGGTCCCGAGCGCCCCCTCCCTCTCCAGGCATGGAAGATACCCCTTTGCCCGGCGGCGTACCTCCTTGCAGGCGTGCAGCTCCTCTCCATGCGTGGCAGCGCCTGCCCAGAGCAGCAACTGCAGCAACACAGGGAACGCGAGGAGCGGCAGGCGTCTCCGCCCGACCCCAACAGGGAGGCACAGGCGGCATCCAGCTGTATCCGCAGCAGCGGGGACCCGGCTAGCGCGAGCCATCGCGGCGTAGGAGCGACCACGAGAGCCACCAGGAGCCGCTCTGCGCGTCCAGGATGCAGCAGCCACCGACTCAGGTGCGGCAGCGACAGCGCTCCGGCAGCGAGAGATGCGGCAGCCTCGCCTCGCCCAGCCCCGCCCCCTGCCAGGATCGCACCGCCCACACCACGCTGCCTAGCAACCGCAGCTGTCTCCGTCGCGCGGGTGAAGCGCACCTGAGGCTCGAAAGATGCGCTCGGGGCGCCTGCGCGCGCCGACGAGGACACGCGGGCGGGCCGTTTGCTCGCGCGCCCGCGCGCCCCTTTCGAAGCATGATTACGTAGAAACCGGTCGGGCCCTCGCCTCGCTCGCCCCGAGTGAACGGCAAGATCAGTAATCGATAGCAATAAAATCGCGTCTGCCAGCGTAGTTCGAGGAGGACGCCGCTTGCTCATTCGGGCTAAGGGCGAAATGGGCCGAAGGCGCATCCTAACAGTGTTTTGCGCATCCGAGATCGTATCGCCACGCGTTCTGAGCGGTTTATGTTCCCTTGTATAGGACACCATGCACAGGAGACAGACCCAGGTAGGGCTTGGAAAAGGGTCGCATATGTCAGTGTGGGCGTCAACATGTTCCGTGTGAATTTAGGCTGGATTATCAGAACTACTTTCGAAGGAGTGCACCCAACTGAAATCAATCTAGTTTAGTTCGGAGTAGGCGTGTGCATCAGCCTCCCTCCAACCTGGTGCCTTCCAGAGGTTGCAGCATCATGGTTACCTGGGGCTGCTGGGAGCTGTAACACAGCTAGAAGGTTTCAGGTTAGAGGAGGCTGTGCAGGTGGGGACTGTACTACCCGTATTGTGCTCGCAGAGCTTGGTACTGAGCACTATATTGCAGATAGTGCAGATCCGTCCCCATATACGCGTAGTTAATAAGCAGGCTCATCATTATATTCCACCCCCAACAAGGAATGCAATACAATTAGAGACAAAGTAAACTCTTCTCACAGCAAAAATACAAACTGCAAAAATCAAGCGCACAAACGGAAAGTTTAAAAGCGACACTAAAATGAGCTTAAATGAACAAGACGACTAAACACCGAACACACGCTTAAGGGGTTGCGTCTGCAAGGCAGCGAGGACGGAGCCTGAAGGCTGCACAGGGAACTGCAGAGCCGCCACTCCGTCAGTGTGCCGCCTCTTGGCACATCCAGGGCAGGCTGGCCCTTTGCTCTTGGTCAGGGTAGCTCTCACGCCGTTGCAAACGCAGCTTGCCCAGCAACTCTCTGGTGCCTCTCCCTTCCCGCTGGCAGCGCTGGCAGGACCGGACTTCGCCGTCCACTCAGCAAAATAAGCAGGGCGGGCAGAATCAGGGCCCGCTTTCTGCATTTTGAAGCAAGTAAAATATATTAGCATCCGAGTCAGGCCATTAAGTCCAGAGACTAGAATTACCTCGCCACGGCACAGCTTCTTCTCCGAAGCGAGAACCTGGGCAAACAGTTAACTAAAGAGCCGCTCACTCGCCCATATAACAGGACACAAACTTCCCTTCCCCCCACGCACACATGGCAATAGTTTAGCGAAGAAATACGTCCACCGATGCTCTTTTAAGCCCATTGCCCGCTCAAATCTCTTTGCAAAACTGAAAAGTGCTCGTTGACTTACGGAGACAATTTTTTAAAAAGGGGGAATGCACTAGCAGCTTTTTCTCTTTTTAAAAGAGGCCCGTTTTAAATAGTTAATATGAAAACAATATCGAACTAGATTTCACGTACATTTAACTACCCTTGCATTTTGAAAAACCGAACTTTCAATCTATGAACACGTCCCACGCACGTCTTTTACTCGGGGGCAGTTTCTTCCAATCAACTTCCGCATTATTTCCAGCCCTTAGATGGCGCTTTAAAGAAGGCACTGAGCGCTCTAGAAGCCACCAAAACCCATCGCCTGGCAACCGTTACGCAACCCTAAACAAAGGTAGCACACAAGATCTGTTTTTGCTGCTGGCACGAAGAGTTCTAGTTGTGGATCGCCTTGGCCTTGGAACATGCCTCCTACTAGGGACCCCTTCCCATTCCCCCACTATGAAAATGAAGATTCCTATACTGGCAACCAAAGGAATTCCCTGGTAAGAGACCCAACTATTTAGATTTTTAGAAATTAAACACATTAAATAAAAATACAAGGATTTGTGGGGGGGGGGGGTTAGGTATAGGCACTTCCGATCCTCATCTGGTTTAAGGCTCATGCATCCATTCACAAATACTACAGCTGATACTAAATTCTTTTATTGTTCTAGGATATTTTTTTCCACAAATGGTACTGGTGAATACTTTTTCATCTGGAATATTCCCCTTTTAGACTTAGCTAAAACAGTAAGATTTTGGGAGATCTAACTTTTAAAAAAATCTAACATATACTTCTAGCACATGTAAAGGCACTTTATATTTTTAGGTGTAGTGGTTAAGAGTGGCTGACACTCTGGGGATCTGAGCTGTAGTCCCCACTCAGCCTTGTTGCTCACGGGGTCATTTTGGGCCAGTGACAGAGTTTTAGCCCAATTTGCCTCATAGTGTTCTAGTGAGGATAAGATTAAGAGGAGGAGAATTAACTCAAGACATCTTGAGTTCCTTGAGAGGAAAAAAGGTGAATATAAATATAATAAATAAATATGCCTCCCTGAAAGCAATTCACATCAATGCAGAAAAAGGGAAAAGAGCTAAGTCAATGTTATACATGTTTAACTTGGTTTGAATGGGAGGAATGATCAAGTCATGCTTAAGGTTCCCTGGGGTAGAGGAAATTTCTAAAAAATTGGGGACCTTATGATAAAAAGAAAGTTGAAAAGTCAACCAAGTCTCAGGTTGTTCAAACCACAGTAATGGCTCAGCTAGAATGTTGAATACTACAGATCAAGAAAGAAACCACAAAGTCGGAGAATGCCAATGTGGTTGACTAGCAGGGTCAAGAAAACTATTAGAGGCAGGAAGGCTTCTGTTGGTAAATGGAAGTCTCTTGTCCAAGTCAGAACACCAAGTAATACAAATGTTAATAAAAGAAATGGAAGCAAACTATATAAAAGATTAGGAAAACAAACTGCTAGAGGAGCATTTTATTAAACTAGGGATTTTTAAAAGTGCATGAGAAACAGGAATCTAGCTGTGGAGTGGTTGGACCATTAAATAAATAAATAAACAAATAAATAAATAAATAAATAAATTAGACCACAAAGGAACTAAATCCTATCTTTCAATAGGGATATTGAAGATAACTTAAGTCTTCTCACAGAAGATGTAAAGAGCAGACACCACTGTCTAAGCTGTTTTTTTAGGGAGCCTAAAGAATTCAAGCAAAGTAGCTTTACATGAAGATGCAGTCCTATGCCTTATTGACATGTTAAGGGTTTCAGATACAAATAATATCTACCCAAGGTTTCCTTAATAATGCAACTGTGAAAATGGTCTTCTAGAAATGAAATTAACAACTTGTCACTAAGAGATGTGTCAGTAGTAGAGGACCAGAAAACAGTTGAAGCTGTACCATTAGAAAAGAAAAGAAAGACTCTCCAGAAGCGATTCAGACCTTTTCAATTGTAGACCTATCAGCTTATTTTAGGTTCCAGGAAAATTGGCAGAAAACATTATTAAAGATAAAATTATCAAGAAGTCTTGCCAAAGTTCTCAAAGGCTTACAACATAATTTGGGACTGGTGAACCCACTTTTTTTTTTTTAACACAAGTGACCCTTATAAAATGTAACAGTACTTATTATTAAAAATTACTTGGAATTTCTGGCTAAGTAGAAATTTCTTCTCTATACAGCAAACATGAAGTGTCCAAAATATAGATCTACCTCTTAAAACATTTATCTCACTTCTCTTTAAACTAAGGTCTGCTAGCTGATAGACCACATCATGTGCAGTGATAGACTTCATCATCTGCTACAACCTGTTACCATGCCATTATTTTGCCAGCTTAGGTACAGAAGAGGAATGATGTGAAAATGGAAGCACTTGTGATGCAGCTTCTTGGTGTCCTACTGTGCTTTGAAACAGCACACGCATCAATATGTTTGGGAGAAGGCTCGATTTCATCCTAACTAATGGTTAAATAGAAGAAAGAGAAATGTCACCATTCTGTAGACACCAATTCTAGTTATGCTGCTATGGCTAAGGGTGATCTGAAGAGATTCATAGGCACTGCTTTAAGATTCTTACGCTTCTCATTGCTCCAGAAAGCCCCCTATGCTGTTCCCACACATCTTGCCCAGCAACGAGACCCCTGGAATAGACTACATGCAACACCCACATTAGCAAGCATCAGAAGAGAAGTCTGGTATAGAGAACATGAGGTAAAATGACACTGCTACTCCCTCTTTGCTTTGTTTTCCAACTTGCCTTCTCCTGCCCCTCCCAACCTTCACTCTTTGCCACCCGTCATTCCTTCCCTTAAAACGGTTCACAGACATGCTTTCTGCGAACATCCATTTGTTGCAAGATTCTTGTCTTTCTGTAGGTGGGAATTAATTTGTTTTCAGTTTTGAATTGCTAGTTTTGCTTTTGAAAGGGCCATTCTTGAACAGCTTAAATATATAATAACACGACGATAGCAAGGTTTTGCTTTTAAAGTATCAACACTGATTCCCATGCCTTCTTTAAATTCATGCCTAGGGTTCTAGAGATAGCCTGGATTTTAACCTCAGTTCTTTGTACAATCACCATGAAGACCTGCTTAAAGATAAAAGCAAGGTAGTCCTCCATAGAGAGACCCTCTTTGATGATCATGGGTGAGCAAAATTCATTCATCTGCTAGACCATGAGTTTCCATGGAATTTATATTAATTTCAGCTTATCCAAAAATGCATCCCTTGTACCTATAAGGTTATAGAATGTGATTCAGTATGCCACAAACTTGGAAGCAATTGTTACCATACTTTCCTTAGACGCTGCTTCCATGTTTTCTGTATAATCTGCAGTTGAGCCATTTTTCATGTTTTCCCTCAGAGTGCATTTCCATTATTCTCTTGCTACAATGTAAAAACAACTGGTGCTTCTACTTTGGCTGGGATTGCATAGATTATCCAGTTTCTTAAAACCTCTAACAGCAATTTTACAGTAAGACTTAAGTGCAAAGTATTGTGCAAGCAGCTTCCTGCTGTGCACTGGAGAAATAAGCCAAGTGACTGTTACTGTGGTGTTCTACCTACTCATCACCTGCATTGCCCAAATATTCACATCTGAAAGAGCAAAAGCAATACTTAGAAGACAGAACTAACAGGGGCTACTGCCAACATAACAGTACTTATCACAGCTGCTGCACCTACACTTTAACCCTGGGTTCAATTGAAACCTACTATAAGTGGCATTTGGGTCATATTATGACCCCAGACAAAACTGCCTCAGGCAAGGAAAATGGTGCATATGAAAAGCTTTTGTATGACTGAATGTTTCCCTTCAGGAGTTTGAGTCAGCATAAGAATGGATTTCAGGGTTCAGCTAGTACAGGTAATTTAAGGCTTCATCCTTAATGCAGCAGTGCATGACAATGAAATCTGCATAACAATGCTTGGCAGATTGATCTTCAACCTGCTTAACAATAGTTTGTCCTGCAAACCTCAAATCAGGATAAAAAGTTTTCTCTTAGTGGATTTTGTATTTTTTGCTTGTTTTTAATGAAGGCTCTTGGTTTTCTAAAGAGAGTAAGATGTATGTAGTTAATGTCCTTTTTGCCTTTGTTTGGGGTCTAAAAGTAGCTCACATAACTATTCTTGTTCATTTGGGACATTATTTTATCCAGGCATGTTGTTTTATAGAAAGAAAATTGTGAAAGGCAGGAGGCTGAAATTTGGGGGCTTTTTAGCTATCCAAGTATTGACAATGCCCTAGGAGGACTAGACTGTAGGTCTACTTATATGCAAATTACATAACAGAATGTGAGTCTGGGGTACTCCAGGCACCCCAGCATTCTGGATGACTGTCATATCACAGCAACAAGATCTGAGCTGGATTCTTAGCTATTCTTAGATCATAGAACTGAGAAAAAAAGTTTGAACTAATAGATACAGGAGTGAGATAATTGTTTTGCATATCCAATATTTTTCTGACTTTTCTTCACAAAACTGGTACTGGGAATTTTTATGCCTTTTCCCAGGCTTAATATTGCAGCAGAGACACTACACCTAACCTTCCAAATTTTGTAGAAAAAAAATTCAGAGTCAACAGTTTTTTAGCCCATAGTCATTCTAGTCAAGTCCACATTTAATGCATTTTTGTATGAACAAATTTACATATAACCTTGCTTAAATAATTCCTTATTTTTTGGTATGTTCCATAATTTTGAACAGCAGGATAACATATTCGTAGAGATGTAACACCTCATCCTATTTCTTCCAGCTTCTCAGTCAACATGTACATTTATTGACTGCTTAGACACCAACATTCATATACCAATGTACAGAAAAATAAGGAGTGACTGTCACCAGGAGTTAATATTTTCATAAATTATTTTTCTTCTTTTCTTCAGTATTTTCTTTTCTAAAGAATGCTTGCAGGGCTATTCAGCGGCCTATGAATTTGAAAATAAATGAATGAATGAATGAATGAATGAATGAATGTTAACACATGTCTCCCTGCTCTTATTTCTGAGCACTACAGTGCACTGAAGGGTTTAGAGCCTTTGAAGAAACGCACTGCGCCTCCAGTTCATTGTCCCACTTCCAGGGGAATCTCTGTGAGACACTGGGTCAACCCAATAAAAGAGTCAATTCACAGCATCGAAGGAGCAATTGGTAAGCATATCTACTAGGCACCCTTTTTTGTTGAAGAGCGACTACCATAAGGGGCTGTGGATAAGCAAACTGATGCCCTCTAATGTTTTGGAATACTACTCCCATAAACCGCATCTAACATGTCCAGTCATTAGGGATCATGGGAATTGGAGTGCCAAACATTTGGCTGGCATCAGATTGCCTTCCATTCATGAACTGTCTATGTGATGAATCACAGCTTTTAGCAAATACATTTTCCTGACACTGTATCAGTTACCACTTCTTGGTTATATACATGGCTTGGGACACAATACCTGATGGAACACCTCTCCCAACCTCAATTGAGAGACCCTTACGATTTGCATCTGGGGTCTTCTTCTGACTGCTACCTCCAAGAGAGGCTGAAAAGAGGCAATAAGGAGCAGACCCTTTTTAGTGTGTTCCCCAATTGTGGAATGGTCTCCATGCTGAGGCCTGCCTGGCACCAACATTATCATCTTTTCAGTGCCAGATCAAAACTGCCCTCTATTCCCAGGCATTTAATAGCATTGAACAGCATATGATGAGTTATGTCAGCTTGTTTTAATTCGGTGCAGTTTACTGAAAATATTTTAGATATTAAATGTTTTATATTTTTCTATAACAGAAGTTTAAAGCTGTTTTAAATTTGTATATTGGAATTTTATACTGTGTCTTGCAGTATTTGTATTTTAATTAAGTATTGTAAACTGTCCAGAGAGAGCTTTAGCTATTGGACACTATATACCCTTCAGACTAGTCCAGTGTTAAAAGCCTATCCATTCAGGAGGATAGACTTTTAATAACTGATAGCAAATTCCTTTGCAGATGCTTAATATTCAGGTAGCTTGCTGAATTGAAATTTCCACTAAAATGATTGATGCAGTTCACTCTTAAAAATTATGAGTGGTGAAAATCTGGCAGTTCTTGAAAAGCAATGCTGTTAGGCAATTGTTCTTAATTGCTTTTTTAAAAAGCATTTTTTAAGATTCAAGCAAAGATTGGTTAGATTCTGTGGCTTTCCACTATTGAAAGAGTAACTTACTATTGTACATCTACTTTATTCTTACTCCCTAAGTACAATCACTTTTTCTCTATTGCGAAAAACATTCAGAATTCAGTTTTTCCTGTTAATCTAAACATGAACTTGAAGTTTTCCAGTTGATTGTTTTCAGTTGAGCATAAGAAACTTCCTTCTGAGGCACTACTTAAAACCTCTGATTAAAAAATGTCTCAGTACTAGATTACTCAGTAAAAGGTGACACTATGACTTTTTGTTTTCTTCAGAGTCTCCGCACACTGCAGCTACCAACAGTGGATACTCCCGCAAAGAAAATGGAGGCATTTTCTACCACTGAAGATTTTGCAAAGCCATGCTCCTGCTTTAATCTTTTCAGTCTTCATTTAAACTTCCCATTCTGTGTTGTTTGCCTTGCTTTTTGATCCGTAATTAAATCATTCAGCCTGACAGAATTCTAGTAAGAATACAACTATACTGTTTTGTGATGCCTCATAATTCTATAGATTTGGTTAGGGACTAAATCAGTCTGGAATGAGATTTGAGGGTACCATTTAAATTGAATAATTTATTTTCATTTATTTAATTTCTTTTCTTACCTAAACAAATATAAGCTGAAACACAACTATCTAAAATAAAGTAGCTAAAGTAAAAAACACATTTGTAGCTTGCCTCAAAGTGAAATGTCCATGTAGTACTTTCTAGATATTTATTGTAATATCCTGAAAAACCTGTTTTTGCTGTTCTGTATCAAGAGAGACATGAATTACATTCCTAGGGAAAAACTTCTCAGAGAGATGACAAAAGGGCAAATCCAGGATTCCCTTCTGCAAAGGAAGGACTTCATTCATGTAAAGTTTCTCTATTTGATTTAGGGTGGGGGGGATTTTCCTGTTGCCCAACCACCATAACTTATTCCATTCACCGTGGTTTCCCAACCATCTGTATAGCATTTTCAGGAGACTGATGTCATGACCTGTGGTTCTCCTCCTGAGGAGACACACTTCTCCAATCGACTTTATTGTTACATGCCTCTGAGTTCACCCAGAGTTAATTGTTGAGCCCTCTTTAACATCCATCATTTCTTTGCTTCTTTATAACCCCTTCTGAATCTTGCTCCTGAGGGTGGAACACTGTGAAACTGTGCCCACCTGTGCTCTTCCCCTTTCTGACCCAGCTGAACTTCCCACTGGTGCTGTCACATGGCACCACCTCTCCAGGAGGAGGGAATTCTGGGTCCAACAAACCACTGAGCTCTCTATCCCCTGCTGTGAGTCATGTCCAACTCCTCCTCTTCCCCTATCCACCCAGTTCAGAAGATGGATCAACTTCCATCAGCCCACAATGTCAACTCCTCCCTCTCTCCCCCCAGACTTTCTGACCTTGGTCTACTGCTTGTACATGCTGAGATTCCACAACAATCTCATCCTCACTATCTCAGCTTGAGTGTCCATCGAGCTGGGCAGCTGCTCATGCACACGTGGCCACCCTGGTACAGAGCATGTGCATGGCAACTGCAGGGGTTTGCTGTGGGGAGGAAGGGATGGAGATGTCCACTTCTGCTGGTGCAGTTGATGTAGCCTGTGCTTGGATCCAACCCAGAGACTACACAGAATGCATTTGCTTGCTCTATAAATTCAATTAAAACTTATGCCAGTAAGGAGCAAGCATTTTCAATGTTCTAGTCTAGTACAATTAGGCTTGAGCATACATGAAAATGTTAAAATATTTTTAATATTATAAATAGCAGATAACCCTTTCCATATTGCACAGAACCCAGTGTTCTTCCTTTGTCCTACAGTCTGAGCACACTGCCTGGCAGTTTCTCTGAGTCTCTAAGATGACTATTTTCCTTGAGTACTATGCTGAAGTGAAACACTTCAAAGCAAATGATCTCACAATAGCTCAGACTACCAGGAGATTGTAACCAATATATTGGGCTCCCTGCCAAAAGAATATGAACCCGGAACAAGGATGAGCTAAATGCCAAAACAAACATAAATGAAAAACTTCTCAAGGACAGAAAACATTAGGGATCTCAATGTGCCAATCAAAACAATGACTATGTGCGGAGCAGTATAATAAAAGCACCTGCAGCCAAAAAGCAGGGGGGAAACCCTGGTTGATTCAAATCAATTTGAAATTCATCTTTGCCATCACTACTTCTTGGTCTTTGTTGCTCATTTAGGGGAACAATATGATCACCATTGCTGCACCCAATGTGCTTCGTATATTTGAGCAACCAGAAGTACAGGCAGGATTTCGAAGAGGAAGAGGAACTAGAGGTCAAATTGCCAACATATGCTGGATCATGGAGAAACCTAGGGAGTTCCAGAAAAACATCTACTGCTTCATTGACTATGCTAAAGCCTTTGATTGTGTGGATCACAACAAATTGTGGCAAGTTCTTAAAGAGATTGGAATACCAGACCATCTTATTTGTCTCTTGAGAAACCTATATGCAGGTCAAGAAGCAACAGTGAGAACTGGACATGGAACCACTGATTACTTCAAAATTGAGAAAGGAGTTCGGCAAAGCTGTATACTTCGCCCTGCCTATTTAACTTATATGCAGAGCACATCATGAGAAAGGTGGGGCTAGGTGAATCACCAGTTGGACTTAAGATTGCTGGGAGAAATAACAACCTCAGATATGCAGATAATACTACTCTCATGGCAGAAAGTGAAGAGGAACTAAAGAGCCTCTTGATGTGGGTGGAGGAGGAGAGCACAAAAGTTGGCTTGAAACTCAACATTAAGAAAACTAAGATCATTGCATCCGGTCCTCCCACTTCCTGGCAAATAGATGGGGAAGAAATAGAGGTAGTGACAGATTTTATTTTCCTGGGCTCCAAGATCACCACAGATGGGGAATGCAGCAAGAAATTAAAAGACGCTCCTGGAGAGGAAAGCTATGGCAAATCTAGACAGCATACTAAAAAGCAGAGACATCACCCTGCCAACAAAAGTGCATATAGTCAAGGCTATGGTTTTCCCAGTTGCATGTATGGCTGTGAAAGCTGGACCATAAGGAAGGCTGAGCACCGAAGGATTGAGGTCTTTGAATTGTGGTGCAGGAGGAGACTCCTACGAGTCTCTTGGACCGCAAGGTGATCAAACCGGTCAGTCCTAGGGGAGATCGACCCTGACTGCTCTTTTGAAGGTCAGATACTGAAGATGAAACTCAAATACTTTGGCCAACTAATGAGAAGGGCTTGCTGGAGAAGACCCTAATGCTGGGAACAATTGATGGCAAAAGAAGAAGGGGATGGCAGAGGATGAGGTGGCTAGATGGAGTACTGAAGCAGTTGGCGTGAGCTTAAGTGGACTCCGGGGGATGGTGGAGGACAGGAAGGCCTGGAGGAATGTTGTCCATGGGGTCGCAATGGGTTGGACACGACTTTGCAACTATCAACAACATATACTGTCCCATGGCTGAAGCTCTCTTGGTGGTGTTCTGCAGTGCATAACAAAATGCAAGTATGATTTTAAAAAGCATAAAATATACAATTAAACTGACCTGTAAAAGCCTTCCTTCAGAAGGAAAGTGCATCTTTTCTTAAATTACATCACAGCTCCATGTCTTACAGAATAAGCCTCCACTCTGTTTCATTTTTAATATTATATATGCCTGATGAAAAGGGTAGTGATTTTTTCTCTTTTCCTGACTTGCTGCTTGTTCATTATACACTGGTAGGTTATTCTGATAATATGTGACAAATAAAGAACAGTTCAGACAAGTGTGAGCAGCAGATGCAGATATCTTGTCAGAGAAATGAAGAAAATAGATTCGAACGGCAAGCTCATGTCCAGGCTTTTCATGACTATCAGACAAGGTCTTGCTGAAAAGGTGGATTTCTTAATTGCCTGGAAAGTGTCAAAATGTGTTCTTTTATTTTACCAACTTTCTTGCATGGTATGTGTCCCAGCATGAAGGGATGGCAAGTAAGCAACATCATACATGCTTCAGAGGAGATAGATAATGTGTAAGGAGAAGTACTTTTTATGTATTGCAGCCTTTAGCATCCCAGCTGCCTTCAGATGTTTTGCATTTCAACTCACAGTATTCCTCTGGATGGCACCCTGGACTGGGGAAGGCCGATGCTTTTGGTTAGCCAAAAGTCTGCCTTCCAGAGTTTTGCCAAAATTAGTTCCCATTTTGCACGATAGTTTGTTCCACCTACCTGGAGAGGGGACATGAACAAGTGGTATGAAACAATGTTTGCTATAGGGTTCAGAGCCTGGCATAAGCCTCAAAAGAAGGTTTGAAATCTTTAGCTTTGAAAAGTACATTTCTCTGCAACTTGAAAAGCACCGTTGAAGTGTTTCTTTAAGTGCTGACATAATGTATGAGTTTTTGAATGTTTTCAATGTATGCTGCTGTTCCCTCTTATTTTTCGTATCCCACAACCATCACTGACAAGGTTTTAAGTATATCAAGTACTACTCTAGCTCCAGATTTTATTCAAAATATTGCATGTTGCTAGATAAATAAAACAAAATTAAAAAAAAAGTCTGGCACTCAACTAAGGGAATTAACTTAGAAGACAGACTTCAGGAAACATTCCAATTGTATTCATTGGTACACTGAGTGAAGGTAGGAAAGGTACTGTACCTCTTAAACAAATACAATTGGTGGAGATGCAGTGATGCATCTCATTCCAGATTATTAACCTTGACTGGGCGTAGCTGTCAGACAGTGCTCCTTCTTTCTTGTGGGTCTGCACGCTTGCAAAGCAAGTGCTTAACAACTGAGGTGCACAGGCTATTGGCTTCTCCTAACAGGCATTTTGATTTTGCCTGGAGCCTCAGTTTCTAGCTGCCTAAGTAGCATGATACCTGTTGGACTTGATTTCCATATCAGAAAAGTACTTTCAACCTTTCTGGGCTTCAGCTGCATTGTACTGTATTCAAAATGGGGAAAATGCCATAATATTTTAATGTAATACTGGGGGGCACAGGAAATTTGGCCACAGGGAATCATTTGCATAGGTTAAAAGAATAGTATTTCTTCCCTGTTCATCCCTCTGGGTAGTAATGAGAATGCTCTGCTTGTCACATCCAAGCAAGGACAGGAGTCTGGACCTTAGGTTGAGTCCAAACCTTGTTCCAGTCCAGTTCAGTGCAATCCAGTCCAGTTTTTATTTCTTTCTTTGTATATATTCATTGGTACACTGAGTGAAGGTAGGAAAGGTACTGTACCTATTAAAAAAATACAAAAGTGTGTATAGTCAAGGCTATGGTTTTCCCAGTTGCAATGTATGGCTGTGAAAGCTGGGCCATAAGGAAGGCTGAGCGCAAAAGGATTGAGGCCTTTGAGTTGTGATGCTGGAGGCGACTCCTGCAAGTCTCTTGGACCGCAAGGCGATCAAACTGGTCAGTCGTAGAGAAGATCAACCCTGACTGCTCTTTAGAAGGCCAGATAGTGAAGATGAAACTCAAATATTTTGGCCACCTAATGAGAAGGAAGGACTGCCTGGAGAAGAGCCTAATGCTGGGAACAATAGATGGCAAAAGAAGGAGGGGAGAGCAGAGGATGAGGTGGCTGGATGGAGTCACTGAAGCAGTTGGTGTGAGCTTAAGTGGACTCCGGGGGATGGTGGAGGACAGGAAGGCCTGGAGGAAGTTTGTCCATGGGGTCGCGATGGGTCGGACACAACTTCACGACTAACAACATTTGAGCATAACTGCCATTGTATCAGTGGCCAAGCTTGAGATTGTGAGAGTTGTAGTGCAACACATCTAGAATCATGCCAAGGAAAACTGGTGTATGTCTATGCCTTATTGGCTTTCTTCTATGCCTGTCCACTTCCTTCCTTCTCTGACTTCTGCTTTCTCATTCACAACTCCTCCACCTACCTGCCAGCTTTCCAGGTCCTCGCCTACTTTATCTCACTTCCTTCAGCTGGTGTATATCTTGATTAGCTACCTCACTAGTATTTCTCACCCACTGAAAGCCAAAATGATAAAGCATCTTCTGATCATTTAAAAATGCGAAGCAATTTCATCACACTTTGACCAGCCTCATTCTTCAGCTATCTTTCCTTTATATTTCCCTGAGAGACATCAATGTATTTGCTACGGGGCAGGTTCCTGCATCATAACAACTCTGCATGGTAGTCGTATGTTTTGCCTTCATAGTATTCTCTGTATCTTGACGATATTCTATGCAGCACCAGACTTGAGACCTCAACCCAATTCTGAATTTAGGTTGTTCCACAGAAGAAACAACACAGAACCACTTCTATGCTTCTAAAGAGTTAGCGCTGTTAATCTGGAACAGAAAAACAGTGCAGAAGCTTGTAGAAACTTAAATTTAATAATTATTACGTCATTACTTTTCCATGAAATAGTACCTGACCTTCATCAGTTCATTAAATCCAGCAAAGGTTGTAACACAAAAGCTTAGGCCACAGGTCTCTTTGTTTTCACCCACGAGCTTTATTAGCATTTAGAAGGAAGTCTTTCTCAAGAAAGACTGACATCTCAGGATTGCCACTTAAGTAAAACCCAAAACCGACTTTTGCTGCCGGCAGCTGGAGGGGAGGACTTTACTACCACGCAGGCTGAAAGTGGAAGGGCAGAAACTAGGAAAGACCAGGTCTTTTGCGTTTAAGCCGGATCAGAATCGCCTCGATACACACTGGCCAGGAGGAGGGGAAATCCCAGCCTCCAGCCTCATCTATCTGATCAACTCATCATCTCCGACTAAACTGCCGCCTGCTCGGTAAACCTGCTTCACCGTACAGCGCCCCCAAGGGCTTCACAGGACGGAGATCTTCTCATCTCAGGCCGGGATGGCGGCGACACCGCGGCCCGATCAAATAAGATCAAAGTGTATCAGAAAGTAAGTGTCGCAGCGCAGGGACCCACTCGCGCGCCTCTCACACACACGTCTCGATGCCTTACACGCCATTCACACACGTTACACACTCCACGCAACCCACACAAGCTTTGCACTCACTATCGCAGCCACGCTCCATTCTCTCTCCCTGGCCACTGGCGGAAGGCCCCGCCAAGCCGCGCCCTCTTTCCTTCTCCGCACTGCACTATGGGAAATCGCGCGGATCTCGCTTCCGCGGCGGATGACCGCGTTCTCGCCGCTTCTTTGCTTCGGGCATCGCGGCACGGACGCGAGTTTGCCGGGTGCACGGGCGGCCTTAGTTTCTGGGGCCCTCCGGAGGGCATTTTTGGGAGGCGTCCTGCGCGTGGGTCGCCCGTGTGGAGAAAATTCAGGAATTTAGCGTAACTGACTGGGAAGCTGTCGCACCCAAATAGCAACAATGGAAGTTCATGACCTTAAATGAAACAAAAAGCGTTTTAGAGTAGAGAGCGAGAAATGAATGTGTCGGGATTACTGTGGTGTTATACAAGCTATGGAGCCACTGGTTTTACTTGGATTCTGCAGCACCCTTCTTTGAAAGTGTTCTTGCCCCATCTTCTCCCTTAACCTCCAGTTTGTAAGCCAAGTGGTTGGAAGGGCGGGAACCAAAATACACTAAAAACCAGTGTGGTGTGTTGGTTCAGAGCGTAGGGCTAGGACTCAGACTGACTGTGTTCTAGTACCTGCTTAGCCATGGACCCAAAGGGGTTACTTTGAGTCAGTCACCGACTCTCGGCCCAACGTACCTCACAGGGTTGTTGTGAGCTAAGATTGAAAGCACGAGGATGAGGCTTATGGAAATTGCTTTGAATTTATTGGAAAACAATATTTTTTTATTTTTATAAGATATTAAAAGTCTCCCACAATAAGGATACACCAGAAGATACTCTTGTAAGAAAGAAAACCTGTTGAGCTTTTAATAATTCTAACCTGTAATAATTCTAAATCTCTTTTGTAGAGATTTGGGTCAGAGGAGCAAATCTTCGTTGTTGCCTAATGTTTTGCACAAAACATTTTTGGCTAAAAAGCCAAATCAGTCTGGGCTTCACCTCTGACCAGCATTACTGAAAAGGAACTAAATTGCTCGGATGTTGTAAATTGTCTGTCAGCCAGAGCCCTCTCTTAATTTGCAATATCAAGATAATAGATTTGTAGATTGGTGTGACATTGTTAAATGTTAATTCAACTTTAAAGCCCTGACTTTTTGTAAATACAAAATAAGACTAAAGTTATGAATAGAATGTATCCCTGATTTGCTGCTACTTCTGCTACCTCTTGGTGGGGACAGGGAAAAACAAGATGCACCCAGTCGCACCTGAAGTACATTCCTGAATTTCTTAACTACTTCTTACAAGTTCTGCTTCTATTTTTACTCTAGGGCAAAAAGGTAACAAAAAGGCAATACTGATATTTATGGGTATATTGCTAACATTTTCCTATCTTTTTGGCTAGCACAGATTTGCAATAAACTACCATAGGCCCCCTTTGCCTCCCATCTGATTTCAGAATTTCCATTCTACACTGTTAAAGGGGCAAAGATCAAAAGGTCTAAATAAAGGTGAACTTTGCCTTTGAGTTAGGAAAAGGTCCCTTTCAAGGGGTATGTTCAGCTTCCTTCTTCCTCCTTAGTATTGCTTTCTGCCCATTTGTGAGGCTCCAGGCAAAACCGTTATTGCAACCTGACCTTCATTTCTTATGCAGTATTTTTACTGGCAATCTAGAACTAATCACAAAATGGCCAGATTACATGTCACTATAAAGCATTATTTAATTACCCTCCTACAGAAAGGTTGTTCATAAATTACATTTTTCTTTTCTTGTGCTGAGTACCCTCATTCCAGATAAAAATACTGGATTATGTTAAGGCATTGTTGTAGATCACCATGAGGACTGTGCTTCCAGGAAAGGCTTTTACTGTACCACTGCCCGGCCTCATTCACAGAATTTTACAGGGAGTCTGAACAAGGTCCTCCCATTCATAACCCTCCTGTGTTTCCTTATCTCTTATCCTGTCCTTTTTCTTACCACTGACAATCCAGAGTAGCTATGCAATGCTTTCTAATCTCAGCTCCCTCCCTCCTGAAACATTTTAGGGTCCTCACAACTCTCAATTTGATTTTTTTTTTTTTTTTTGCATGGAACCGTATTTGGATAGTAAGCTTTAAATGTTCAAAGTTTTATTATTTTTTATTATTATTATAACATTTTAGAAACATTTTTCACACCCAGACTTGAGTTTTAAAGCACTAAAATCCTTTTGCTTCCAACATGTGTCTAACAAATGTATAATTGCCAAATCACAGCCATCATATCCTCTGTCATTGGTATAAACAGCTGTTTCTGTTTTGCAAATGAAAGGGAGCAGGGTGGGTTCAATAAGAATAATCGGGAAGAGAGTCCCATTCTGTTCAATGGGTCAACTCCCCAGTAAATATACTCAAGGCTGCAGTTTGTATTAGCAACTAAGCCCTTTTCACCTGTATTTTTCACATCTCTTAGTGACCCAGAATAAAAGGGTTGGTGAAGTCTGCAGTGCAAAAACCTCGGACAGTAAACAAAAATTGCACATGATGTATGATGACCTGTATGGGGAGAGGGATGGGGGAGTGTGTCCCTGTTGGTTCTCCTGGACCTCTCAGTGGCTTTCATACCATCGATCATGGTATCCTGTCTAGGCTGGCCTCTTTAGGAGTAAGAGGCACTGCTTGGCAGTGGTTCTGCTCCTATTTGGCTGGCCGATTCCAGAAAGTGATGCTGGGGGACTATGGCTCTTTGCCATGGAGTATCACAAGGCTCCATTTTGTCCCCCTTGCTATTTAACATCTACATGAAACTGCTGGGAGAGGTCATCAGGAGGTCTAGGCTGAGGAGTCACCTGTACGCTGATGACACCCAGATCTCCCTCTTTTACAACTAATCCAGGTGGAGCAATGACTGTCCTGAACTGGTGCCTGGCCAAGGTAATGGGCTGGATGAGGACCAATAAACTGAAACTCAATCAAAATAAGATGGAGGTCCTTTTGGTAGGTGGTTCAGGTTTTCAGGTAAGTGATTTTGGCCCTGTCCTAGATGGGGTTGCACTCCTTCTAAAGGATAGGGTCCACAGCTTGGGAGTGCTGCTCGACCTAGAGCTATCCCTGGAGGCCCAGGTGACAGCAGTGGCGGAGTGCTTTCATTTAGCTTTGGCTGATCCATCAGCTGCATCCTTACCTGGATGAGCACTGCCTAGCAACGGTGACACATGCTCTGTTAACTTCCCAGTTGGATTACTGTAATGTGCTCTACATAGGGCTGCCCTTAAGACAGTCTGGATACGTTAATTGGTTCAGAACAGAGCTGCCAGATTGCTGTCAGGGGCCAGTCGCTACTCTCATATAACACTGGTCCTCTATCAGCTTCACTGGCTTCCAATTGAAGCCCAGGCCCAATTTAAGGTGCTGGTTATGACCTATAAAGCCCTAAACAGTGTGGGTCCAGGATACCTAAAGGAACGTCTTTTTTTCCTACATGCCCACCCATCCCTTAAGATTTGCAGCAGAGGCCCTGCTTCAGGAACCCTCCTTGGAGGAGGTTGGGAGAGAATATAGTTGGAGGAGGACCTTCTCTGCGGTGGCACCGTGGCTATGGAATGCACTCCCGAGAGAGATCTGCCTTGCACCAATGTTATATGCTTTTCGGCGCCATGTCAAGACCTTTTTATCTTAAATACTTTTAATGTTTAATATTTTAATTATGTTTTTATGTTCAGTTCATGGATTATTTGTATTATTTGGGTATATACGTATATGTATGTATTTGTTGGATTCGAGTTGTAAGCCGTCCAGAGACCCGCTGGGTATTGGACAGAGTAAAAAATACTCAAATAAAATACATTAATTCTGGATTCACTTGTTCCCACTTGTGCCCAATTATATTTAAACCCATTGATTGTTATTTGTAAATCAGCTCATTGGTTAAATAGCATTTTGCACTTATTATTTAAATGAATTTATACAGTATAATTCATATGTAAGTTTTTTTCATTTGGGTTAAGACTCATAACAGTACCAACATGTTAGTTTTCTTAAAGCGTCTACCTATTTCAGTGGTATTTTTCTTATAAAAACGTTAGCATAGGCACAGCCCATGTGGGTTGAGTATTGCCAAGTAACATGTAGCTAACTGGCTATCCCTTCCTTAGAATATTTAGTTAGTAATACTCATTTTTATTCCTTTAGATCCCAGCCAGTAGGACCACAAACATTAGGAAAGAAGTGTTGTAATACCTATTAGATATTAGATATGGGGAAGAATAATAAGGCAGATTTATTCAAACACATATTGCTAGAATACCAAAGGCCAAATAAGGGCTTCAGAGTACTTCCTGCTGATATATACACGTGTTAAGTGACAGTTACTTCATGTAACAAAGTGTATAAAACTGAAAAAGAAACCTTTTCATATTTAACCAGATATACAGATTTTTTTAAAAGTGATAATCCTGAAGCCACTTGTGAATGTCCAGCCTTCAAGTATTTTCAACATTATATGCTCTAAATAGACGTGTTTAACAAGTTTTTACTGTTTCTGCTGTAGGAGATTACCTCCTATACTTTAAAGAGAGGAGCATTCAAACATGGGTGGAATAAAGAAAACTTAGAAGTGTTTCATTAGAAATAAAGAATGCAAGGTACATTTTTACCTTTAAAGTCTGTACATATTCCAAAATATACAAGTTATGGTCTTTAAATGTGTCTTAAACATTTGAACATCTGTTAACTTATGTAACAGGCTATGTCCCTGTTGCTTTCTCCTACATATTGACATCCAAAACCTGTGGCTATGTTTGAATTGATGCCAATCCTTATTTGCAAGCTAAGCAATACAGAACATGCAGCATTTCAGCCACTCTTAGATATTTCTAAAAGGTGGTAACAATTATTCCATGGGTCATGTAAATATACCGCCAAACAACATTTTATTTCCTTTGTGGTTCAGGAGCAAGGAGCACACAATCAGTTCTCTGAACTGTGAAAGGATTTTTTTCTCACTAGCTAGTTTACCATATGCAGTCACTCATTTTTTATGATAGCTTTAGCTTCCAATCTTAAAAGTGCATTAAATAAAGAGAAGTTAATAAAAGGAAATCTACACTCCTCCCTTACTGTTCATTATTACATTTGAGGGACATGAAGCAATTCCCATTAACACACCAGGAATGAAAATGCTTTCCTCTTCCACATTGTACCAAATTTTGGAACGGCATTATCCATTTCTATCTGCCACAAAACTTGTAATGTTTTCTTTGTGCAGCCTGTAATATTGATTTTAAACGTCTGCACATAAAACCATTTTTGTTGTTTACATTCAAGCTCTACTTGAAGCACAGTTGCCAGTACAAAAGCCACCCTTTGGTCTCTAACAATGCTTGGTCATAGGAGAATTTTCTCTTGACATCTGTGCAGGGTTCTGTGTGAAATCCACTAGGAGATACTGTCCTCGGAAGCAAAAGAAATATGCTTTCTTCAGCATCTTTGTTCAAACAGTGTCCATCTATGGTGTTGCTATTCATTTTACAAAGAGGACATAAAAAGCCATAACAATGCAGGATATTGCCACTGCTGCATGAAGTCTGGTACCAATCACTGCCGCTGCAAAACAAAAAGAATTGCATCATATATAATAGTGTATACAGCTGAGATACTGTCATAATCTTGGTTAGAATTAGACAAAACGTTAGGTGTGCAGCATTGCCACAAATATTAAGAGTGCATTCCAGATCCTCTAACAGAAAGAAGACTCCCTTATGAGACACACTGCTGGATTCAAAGGCACTCCATTTGGCTAGATGGGCCCAATCTAAGTCTGCTACACCAGCCTCAGAGGTGTCACAGTTAATCCCCCACTTCTGCCTTGGCCAGCTTGTGGTGATGCATGTGGTGAGTAGTCTGCCTTAATTTCTACTATCCCCCCTCAAGAAAGCTCTATAAAACAGGGCTGTCACAGGCTGGAGAGCCAATTCTTCCACCAAACAGTGGCCCATTCATAATTGTAACAGAAAAATATTCTGTCTGAATTCAGAACTTAAATTCAACCTCAGTAGGAAAAAAGTTATTTCAGCTTCAAATCCTTTGTCCTTAATGTTTATAGAAAGAATTAGAGAATCACAATGAATTATGCATACATGTTCTTGTGTTGCAGTGTTTTAGAGATCCTAGGAAGGAGGACCTTTACCCCCAAAAAATCAGCTATCAAATGCCCAATAGCAGCAAGAGTTAGTGACTCTTTAACTTACAAAGAGCATTTGTTTCCTACCTATTACAATAATGAAATAATGCTTTTGGAGGAGAGAGATTACAGAAGTCCCCAAACAGCCCTTTTGTTCAGTATTTCTGCATTAGAACATAAAGGAGCTAAAGAATAATGATCAATAGCAAAAATTACATGTCAAAATAGAAAACGTAGCTCAGAGATCTTTGCTTCTCCTATCCTATCACTCATAAGTAGCAGGCTCCCAGATAATTCACCCAAGTGCTTCACTTACAAATCTCCCCAAAATTCTCTCAACATATTCAGATAACTCCAAAGCTTAATTACATTATCATGCTACTTCAATGTGTAATTACTCTACATGTTCAAAGAATGAAATACTACAGTAAAGTTAAAAAATAAGTTTCACATTCTTTACTGCCCGTAGTGAAGGGTGGGATATGAAAGCTTTAAATAAAATAAATAAAATATGGGGAGTGGCATGTCTCAATTTACTTGATGGAATAATGAAAGTATTTCTTGGCAGCATGGTCATTATCTTGGGTATGCAGATACAACTATAGTTTAGCAATGAATGTAAGGCTGAGATAAACAACTAAGATCCCAATCCTATGCAGTCACATGTGTTTAAACACATTGTTTTCAAGTGTCTCAGTGCATGAATGGCTTACATGGAAGTGACAGGATTGGACTTGAAGGTTCAAACCGCGAGTCTTCTCACATATAAGCAAAGGGTTCGAAGGATAAGCTCTTTGAAATGACTGTCAATCAGATAAACAAATCAGAAGTGCTTTGTGCACAGTCACAATAAAACAGGCCGCACCTGACTGAACTACTTCACAACTGTCAGGTCCATTTTATAGGCCTTAAAATTGACATGTGGACAGCATTTTTGAATAGAGTTTGCTGTAATATGAAAGGACACTGTAGTGACCTTCCAAATAGGCACTAAGCGTACTTGTTATATTTATATCCTGCCTTTTTTCCCCCCTTCAAGGAAGCTTACATCATTTTCCTCCTCTTATCCACACAACCTCAATCCTGTGAAGTGGCATAGGAGGAGAGTCTGTGACTTGCTCAGAGTCACCCAATGAGCTCTGCGCTGGAGTGACTAGAACCCAAATCTCCTGAGTTCCGGTCTCGCTTAACCACCACACCGCACTGAGAACTGCGTCCTCTCCCAGCTCTTCGAGAAGGCTGCTCAAACCTTTCGAGACCTGCCGGCCAGGCGCAGAGTCTTACCTTTGTAGAAAACTCCCCACACCCCTCTCTTCTCCGACAGAAGCCAAGCTTTCAGCCGAGGAACCTTCCGAAAGTAGGCGCAGGTGCACACGAAGAGCAAGCCGAACACTAATAGCCCGTCCAGCGAATACACTGTAGGGAAGGAGAAAAGAGTCAGTTCCGACTGAAGTCACTAGCTCCCGTCTCTTGAGGATGGTAGGCAATGAACGAAAGCGAGAGGGAGTAAGAGAGGGGAGCCTCAGGCAGGCACCGGGCCTTGACCCGAAGGCACCAACCCCTTGCTGAGGGGCGGGGAGTGGTGCCCTGACTGAACGAGGAAAAGGGACGCGGAGCCCTCGCAAACGCGAGACCATCGCCAGTGGGCAGAGCCTGTCCATATCTCACCGTTAGCCATGACGGCACCCCGTAAAGTCCAGTCCCAGCCCCGTCACCGCATCGCTCAGAGCGAACGGCCAGCGCGGCACCGGAACCACCAGGTGCCGCCAATCGAGCGCCGAAGGAAAAGTGCGCTCTGGGCTTGCCGGCGCCCGGTCGAGCGCGCATGCGCAGAGCTGCTGCAGGCAGCAGTAGTCGAAGCCATGGCTGTTGCATCCGGAGAGCCGTGCAATCGGCTCCGCCCACCGGCTTCCTTGGCCGTTTTGGAGGAATAGTAGTTGTCTCTTGTTAAATCTGGCGGGGGTGCTGTCTTCTCTTATGCGCCGAGGTGGAAAAGCACTTGGGACTTCCTCGTTGCAGTCAGTTGATTTCTTGTCTTGGGAATAAAGCAAGGAGTAAAAATTGAGTTTTCAAATTAAAATTCATTGAATCAGGTTACATGTATACACATGGTTGAGGCCTGTGGTATTCTTTTCTTGGGGCCAAAGTAGAGTTCACTTTTAATGTGTGTCTAGCAGTTATATATTATGTTTATTTTCAACGTTATTTTTACAATACTTAATTTTGGATCAAGTCCCTATTGTGCATTTGTGCAGGGAGGGTAAAGTACCTGCACTTACTCCAGAGTAAAAATGGGAGGAACACCACCACATAGCTATTAAACAGTTAAAGTATGTTGTGTTTCAGTGCTTATGCTGGCCTTTGGATGATATCACACAAAATGTATCCTCTGACTCAGAATAAAATCCTAATACACAAAACTGCACTCAGTACAAGAATCTCTGGGAGAGGGAGTGAAGAATGCAGATGGCAGCAAAGGCAGTGGCAAAACTGGGGCATCTGTGGTGTCTCTGTACTTGGGTGCTTCTAGCTTAGGCTCCCACTACCCACTTATTTATGGCCTGAATGAGGATTTAGGTTGGGAGGACAACTTACAGAATTATAGTATCACAAAATAGTAGAAGGGGCCATTCCATGTCTTACACTCTGGTATCAGTGAGAAGAGATCTTGACCTTCCTCTTTGTGACAACCTTTAAGGTACTTAAAGAGTGATATCATTCCCCACCCCCTCAGTTTTCTCTTCTCACTCCTGAACATGCTTAGTACTCTCAGTCTCTCCTCATAGGGCAGTGTTTTCAAACCCTAGATCATTTTTGCTTTCCTCTGCCCACTTTCTAATTTTTCTGTATCTTTCTTAAGTCCTGATGCCAAGAACTGAATACAGTATTCTAGATGAGATTTGACTAGTCCTGAGTATAGGGGAAGTACTACTTCTCATGATTTGGAAGTAATGTATCTATTAATACATCCCAAAATAGCATTTGCCTCTTGTGCGGCTGCATCGCATTGCTGGCTCATATTTAGCCTGTTGTCCACCATAGCTTCAAAGCCTTTCCCAGTTCTCTTGAGCCATGTATTCTCCATCTTGTATTGATGCATTTGGTTTCTTTTTCCTAGGTGGAGGACTTGGCACTTGTCCCTATTGAATCCCATTCTGTTGCTTTCAGCCCAGCATTCAAGTTTATCAGGATTACCCTGGATCTTCATTCTGTCTTTTAGGGTGTTCACTATTCCACCCGGTTTTGTTTTGGTCTACAGTTCCTGCGATCCCTTACCATTGCTTATGCTCTTAGGGCTGACTTTAGAACCTTGCCACAGCAGCAACATGCAATGTAGCAGAACATAAAATCCTCAGAAAACAACCATCTACTCGTATTTTCACCATGAATTTCATTGGCTCCCCCCATGTTTATGGGCAATGGCAGGAGAGTCCTTGATTCTGGTGGGGGCCATCCAGGGCCACTGCTTTTTGCACTCTCTGCCTTGGGTTGGTCCATCCTTCCGTGGCTGACATACGGTGGGTGTCTCCCTCGCATAGCAGCAGCACATCTGTGACCATGGTGTAAGCGATGTATCCAGGACTGTATTGTTAGGATGGTAGCCCAAAGACATTCACTCGATGTGGAATGAGCCAAAGGACACTTAATTAAATCATCCAGGTTCTGCTGAATCTGTGTCACCATAAGAAATGTTTCAGAGCTCTAGACTTGGAAAATGACATAGTCTGCTTAATCAGTCCAAGGTTCTTAAAGGAATGTGTCACATGACACCTGTCTCTCGTCCTCCCCCTTTCATCCAACTACACACCCAGGGATTAGTCTAAGGGCTTTAATAGGTTTTGTGAAGAGCCTGCTAAAAGAAGCAGGGTCCATCCACAATCACATTACAGTCTCCTCTTCAAAAGAAAGCAAATAAGGGAACTTGATTCATGCTGAGGTGCCTGGATCTGTAGCATAGATGCTTTTCTAAAACAAATTGAACTCCCAGTGCTGAACCGTTCCTTGCTATTTGACTGTCCAGTATTTATTTTGGAGACAACATTCTACTGTTTTAAAGGAAGGAACAGTGAAGAGAAAAAAGGTTCCTCCAGAACACGGTCATGGGGTCCTCCCAGTCAAAACGGGTAAGTTGCTTTCAGAGGATGCCTCTCTGATATTATGATGAGAGCTCTTTGATCAGTCCAGCATATTTCCCTGTTTGTGTACTTCAGTGATGTTTGTGTACTTCAGTGATCCCAGATGGAGCTTTTAGCATGTAATTATCTTGTCTCATTCATGGAATGTTACAGGGGTTCCAGATGACATTGTTTTCCATTTGTAACCTGCCCATGTTTCCCCAGTGCTTCTTTAAGCTTTTAAAAATACTGTTAACAACTCTACTGCAGTGGAAATGCAATAGCTGCACAATTTGGATTTGCAGTGCTAGTAGCTATACTTCAGGAAGCACTGTGCATGAGAAGAGACATGTGACAGTATCTCAAGAGACAGGGATTTCTGATGGTTGAACTTATTATTTTTTATCATAATCATTCTTAAACAGTAACACTGTTATTTCATTTCTATACCAGCCAAAAGCCAAAGGTCTCTGGACAGTTCACAGAAATTACAAACAATAAGTAAAACCTAATTAAAATGAAGTACAGTTGTTTTGCATACAGCATTTAAAATGATTTAAGCTGCTAAAATCATTCAAGAAGGTATGGGAGCTGATACAGACAGCTGACATATTCCAAATGTGGAATATTGATGCTTGAAAGCTGGAAATGCTTGAAAGCTTAACCCTTAACTTTCTGGTCTCCATTACCTCTGGTCTGTCTGAATTCTGACATGGAATCTCCTACATGAGGGTGTTGGACTTCTTACAGCCAGACAGCCAAATACCATGTGAAGAAGCCCTCCAAAGATGCATGCCAGTGGTAGGTGGGGCTGAACAAGTGGAGCAAAGCACAAAAATATCAGCATGTTTTCATTTAAACCCTTTACTTCCAGGTATAAGACTTAGGTGAGCAATTTCAACATTTTAAAATTGGGGAGGGAACAGGCCCACAATCAACCTAAATGTTTGGAGAGGACCAGAAAAGCAGGGACAGTTCACCTGGTTTGGATCTCTTTTAACAACAACATTGAGAAATGATTTTAATTATTTGTTCTTTAAATAATTTAGGGAAGACAGTCCCCTGGCCTTCCTGCTGCTTCCTTGGCTACAGACCTGTGGGGCGGGGGGGGGGGGGGGACTGAGCCAGAACACCACCAAATGATTGATGGTCAGGAGAAGGGATAGTGACAAGGGCAGGGCTCTCTTGTTTGCTCCAGATGTGGAGTTCCAGTTATGGCTCCAAGGTCTGAGGTTCTTTTCTCTCATTCTGCAGGTTAGGAAATAGTGTGTGGGACATATGTCAAGGAGCGTGTCAACTGCTTTTGTTGGCTCCAGTGTCTCACTGAGATTGTTTTGCTGGATCAGTTGTTTTAAATGTAGTATGTGAAGAGTTGATCAAGCTCCAGGACTGCAGATGCTACATAAGACACAGCAATAAGCTGACGGCAATGAAGCTATTATGGTGCCAAAGGTAACCATCTCAGATGCTGCACCTGCCCTGTGACAGGTGAAAGAGGCACTTCTTGCCCCGTGGAACAGCCTCCTGCAGTGATAAAATCCTAGATTATACTTAATCCTGCTTCTGTGTCTAGTCATCATTTTCACTCTTACATTGATCCAGTGAACCAATCCCTTTCCCCCGGTGTCCTCTCTGTAGCAGCCCAAGCACAGTCCAAGCAGGCCTGCCAGAAAGACTAATTTCAGCACTGGCTGTGTTCACACTATAGAGGAAGCAGGAGGCAGCTTTTGGCTTTCACAGTTGTCATCTCATGTCAAAAAGGCAACACAAATAAACATTTCAGATCCAACAAAAGGAACAGCGTTCTTGGAGAAACAAAAGACATGCCGACTAAGCTTCATGCCCATCCCTGAACTTCATGGGCATAAAGATGGTGCATTGAATGACAGCTTTAAATCTATTCAGGACAAAATTCTATTCATGTTTAGAGAGAGAGAGAGAGAAAAGTCCTACAACTCACAGCATGATCCAGCCAATACAGTTGTAGGACTTTTTTTTCTTTCTAAACATTCATAGGATTCACCCTTAATTAGATGTTTAAGATATCACTCAGATTGGATTAAAGGGGGAGCAGCCCAGAACACTCTCAGGGATAAATACAAAAAATCAGCATCAAGACTGTTCCAAATATTATGGAACATTTATATGAAGCTGCTGCAAGCAGTCATTAGGAGATTTGGAGCTAAGCACCATCAGTACACTCACTGGTGACATACAACTCTGTCTTCCTATGCAAGTCCTGGATTAGCATCTGAACTCAGTGATGAGCTGGATGAGGGCCAATAAACTGAAGCTGAAACCTGGAAAGGCAGAAATCCTGTGGGTGAGTGGTTCCTGAGTCCAAGAGATGGGTTTATTGCCTTTTTTGGATAAGGTTGCACTCTCTGTGAAAGGCCAGGTTCATAGTCTGGAGGTACTCCTAGATCCATGGTGTCATCGGAGTCCCAAGAGATTGTGGTGGCTTGGAGTGCCATTCACCATTTCTGATTAGTTTGCCAGCTACTGCTTCTCTTGGATAGCTTGACCACAAAGATATAGGAGCTAGTAAACCCAAGACTGGATTATCACAATGTGCTTTATATGGCGCACCTTTTAGGCTGCTCCAGAGGCTGGACTGCAGCGACTTGCCTATTGTTGGGAGCTGCCTCTTTTCAGCATGCAACTTGTTTGCTGAAGGAACTGCACTGGCTACCAATTTGCTCCTGGGCCAAGTTTAAGGTGTGAGTACTAGGCTCCAAAGCCTTGAGCAGCATAGGACCAGGTACCTGAGAGAGTGCTTCTCCCTCACAAACCTGCCCAGTCACTGAGGCCATCAGAGCCCATTCTCCTGCAGGTTCCACAAGGACTCTGGGCCCAACTGGGGTCCACCAGAAGAGGCTCCATATGCCCACTCCATCTCTGTGGAGCTCTCTGCCTCGGGAGAATAGAGACAATCTATTCCATCAAGACTTTTCTTGCTGACCCGCCACAATTTAATGTCATTTTGTTTTAAATTGTTTTAAATGTATTGCTTCTATTCTTTTATTTCTTTTATCCACATACTGCTCACCTCTCTGGAATTTGGCTGGATGTGAAGCAGCACAGGAATACTGTACATAAATAAAATGCCTGCCAAGTTCCTCTGGCTCCCCCTACAGCCTGCCCTGGGTGATGTCATTGTTTTGCTGCCTCTGTACATTCCCCCATCACAGGGGAAGAAACTTGGTCTCTTTTAAGAGCAGTATCCAGTGTGATGGTCCAAATGATGTAAAGGACATTGTTCTAGCACAAGGAATCTAAAGCACAATGGCCATAGAATTGGCTGGCAGTGAAAGAAAACCCCCAGGAAAAAGCGCATGTAAAAAGGAGCCAGTCTTAATTCCACAAAGAACTAGAAGGAAGAAGCTACAGTAAAGTAGCAGGTTACATGCCTCATGTGGAAAAGTCCTTAGACTTCTAAAGATAAGCAGGTAACCCTTGGGCAAAATGAGGCACCCCCTTAGGCAGTGGCAGCTGCTGCTGGACAGTGGGAAGCTGTGGCTGCTGCCCTCTATCTACACTTCCCAAGCCTCTCTGTCCCCACCTCTGTTCCCAGTGGTAATGCTTGTTTGTTGCTGGCCTTTGGGAAAGGACTCTGACCAGATGAGCAGGCCAAGAGAGATTGTGTGTACATGTGCATGGCAGGCAAAAAGCTAATGGGGAGTAGATGCAAGAAGTTGGAGGACAGCGGTGCATGCACCCCTCCTTCCACTGCTCGCCCTAGGCTACCCTGCTTCCCCCTGGCTCAGTAGTGGGTGCTGTCCCATCACCAGTGCTGAAATAAGATCCATCTGCCAGTTCAGTTGGTTTCTGAACATGGTAGGGTGTGTTTGTGTGTGCGGTCTTGTTCTTCACCTCAGGATGCCCCGGGTCTGTATGTCAGTGAAGCTCTGCTTTGCCTTCAAGTACAGTGGCTGTACCACTGAAAATGTATCCTAAGGCTCGCTGAGGGCTTTTCTGCATGAGGCTTTTGACCTGCTACATCAGCAAGGGGATTAAAATGGACTCTTTTACACCTTTTCCAGAGCTCCCCCCCTCTTTGCCTTTGAATATTGTCCCTTATACAATCACCAGGTGGTACTGTGATACAGCAGAATTTCACAAATTCAAAAATGTGGGAACCCACCATTGACAAAAATGCCAATACTTTCCTCAGGAAAGGGTTGCAAAAAACAGGGCAGGTCCTGGAGGAGGAGGATGGAAGTAAAGCAACCATAAAATTACTTATTTTCCAAGTGCAAAAGCACGAACGCACAATAAATGCTTCCATATAGCCTGAAGAGCCTGATCCTGCCTAATCTTGGAAGCTGAGCAGGATCAGGCCTGGTTGAAATCTGGATGGGTGACTTAAATGTTGTGAACCACCCAGAGAACTTCAGTTACAGGTGGTATAGAAATGTAATTAATAATATTATAATATCATCCAAGAAAGTTCTAGACTAGTACTTATTTACTTAGTTCACCAAGCACCCCTGATGAACCACTCAGAGAAAATATACCTAGGATGTGTAGGTGGGAGTTCAGTGGCCTCATGAATAAGCCCCCCCACCCCCGCCCCGCCTGTGTGTTCTGGATTTCTCCCCAGTACCCACGAAATGTCTGGGTATAGAGTGGGCCTGCTGATTTCACAATATTTTTACGTTGTTTTCTAGGAAGGAGGGATACTGCCTCAGCCTGACAGATGATGGGTTAATCAGAAGTGGATTAAAAGGAGAATCTGCTCAGAGATGGAAAATCTAATCTTTCAAAGCTGTGCAGAGAACCAGAACAGGCTCAGCATGTTGGGAAGAGCTTGTGAATGATCAGTACAAAATAGATGAGATGGAAGAAGGAATATAGTTGCAGGAAATGATATGGCATAGACTAGCTAAATCAGTGATTTGTAAAGTCAGAGAGTTTTGCTATTCATTGCCAGGCTAGAAAAAAAGTTTGATTCGCAAAAGCAACAAGATCCACATGTAGTAGATGGGAAGGGGCTCCCAAGCTTGGACCCTTTCCAATAGAAGGGAGACATATGAATGAGTATTATTCTAGGTTCTTGCTTATTAGGGTCAACTGGAGAGGATGCATTATTGGCCAAGAGGAATGAGATATGTAATTGATTTTGTCTAATTCCTTTCAAAGCACTTTGGTAAAATTGGTGAGCTCTCTGATTTCTAATGGAAGCTGTAACATAACGTCTTCATGAGATGGCCAGTGAAATAGTTGAGGAATCATGATTAAACATGTGAACTGTAGCTTTTAGACCAACAGACCAAGAGCTAACACATGTCCTTAGACACACTCTACAATAGCATCACTCTATTCTGTAATTAACACCTGGAAAGGCATTTTTGATTCCATGACTGTATAGCCACATAACACTTCCAGAGGAGGGCTTTAGCACGCCATCATCTTGCTACTTCCACCCTCTTATTTCCCATGGCTTCCTCCATCTTTTCACTTACCACAAATAAGTTCTGAAGGGATCAAAAACAGATTGGTAGCATTAGAAGCCCTCCATTGGAAGCACCCATAATGTGACTAATTAAGAATACATAATCAATAATACTAAAAGATTTCCCACTAAGCAATCCTAGTAAACATCAGTGTTTTAGACAACAGAAGGTTGATGGAGCCAAGAATGCCAGATGTTCCTTGAAGATAAGTGGCAAATTTGCCAGAGCACATCTTCTGTTAAGGAAATGACCAGCAAATGACCCAGGAAGACTGGGAGATTAGGGGATATATTTGTTTATTTTATATCCTGTATTTCCACCATAAATGCCTGCCAAGGTGGCTCCTCCTAATTCCCCTCATCCAGCCAGAGGGGAGGGAGGAAGCAAGGTGTAAATGAAAAACCCAAAACCATAAGCACTTTGAGAAATCAAATGCAGTTAAGACACAGGCAATTTCCAGAAAAGGCTGTTATTACACCATCACTCTGACTCATTCCCAGAATTCCAGGAAGCTTCAACTTATAACCCTGCTGATTTTCTAACTGCTTTGTCTATCTTTTTTCTAAACCATGAAAAAGAAAAAGACTCAAGAGCTGCACCTTCTAATTGGTATGTGGGGCAGTGAATTTTGCTGTTAGTTTAAGCTTTTACCCCATATGTGCTTTTGTAAATAAACTCCAATATTACAAAACACGATAAGCCTTCATTGTTCTCCTTCCAAAGAAAACCAAACCCAGGAAAGTGCTTCTCACCACTCAGAGAAGTGTAACAAGTCTAGCAACATTCAGATTTTTGTTCATCGCTTTCCTGAAATGTTGGTCTCTTTCCTAATTTCAGACCTCTTTGTTCCAGGGTGAATACAAAACTCAGAAGAGCAGCTTACACACAGGTAAGAATATTCTAGACCTAAGTAGGTTTGTAATCATCTGAAGAAACTACACAAGGATGAAGATCTGGGAGTAGAAAAGCAGGTTGCTTTCCTCTTACTCACAGAATTTCCCCCTAGCCTTTGGCAGTGAAAGTCATTTGTATTCTTCAGAGGAGGATGGCCCTGATTTTTTCATGCAAGAAATGCTTGGAAAGGCATGTTACTGTCAGAATTCACTCTAAGTTCCTTTGGACTTTTTAATATAATCAAATGAGAGCAGAAACGGGGGGATGCTTCAGCACTTGTGCTCTGCCTATAGTTAACCAATAGACATCTGGTTGGCCATTTTGCAAACAGAATGCTGGATTACATAATTGAGTCTTCCTCAGCCTAGCAAACCGCAGGTGTGCTGGACTGTCATGTCTTATTAACCCTAGCTGAGACTGTTAGGAGTTGTAGCCCAACACAACTGGAACGCACCAGGTTAGGGAAGATTAGGAAAGACAGAGACAGGCTTTTGGTCCAGGATGGCTTTTTTTTTTTTTTTTTTTTGCATAGTTAAAATAAGTGTGTCCCAAGTGCACTTTTTTCTTAGTCCTTCCAAAAGTTTATTTTCCTAACACTATCTTGCTCTTCCATGATGGATGATGAAGGAGATAATTTTGTTATAAAGTCATGGTAGTATAGCCAATGTGCTGTTCATTACCCCTTTTAAAAAAATGCAGCTGGAAACAGCTGACAAAAAACGGGGAGCACTCAGCCCCCAGATAATGAAAAAGGAAGAACAACATAAGAATGGTGGACAAGTCACCAGAAAAGCTCTGTTGCTTTTCAAAATATTTTATTAAAAAAACAAAACCAAAAAACAACACCAGATGTGTGGATGGCCCAGTGCTGAATTGCAGAAATAACTGTCATGGCATGGAGAAACAGCAGAGCAATTCCAGGTTTGCTGCTCGTGAACACCGCAGACTGTATCCCAGTGAGACCCATGACACTGACACACGTTCACTCCATACAACAGTAAGAACATCAGTGAATGCATTGCCTATAGGGCAGGACCACATTTTCCCAGATAAAAACTATTGAACTTTGCGTTGCTCTGGAAAAGAAAACATGAACAAAATTTTAAAAAATCGGAAAATAAATATATAAATATGATAAAGGCATAAACATTTCAAAAGGTGTTAGAGAAGGATTAGTACTGACTAATCCGTACTAGGGGAATAACTAACTGGAACACAGAGGGGAGACTGATCTTATTGTCTGATGGGTTATTGCAGCTCTTTTGCAAAATGCTAACACTAACCTGCCATTCCATAAAGCAGTGCGAGGCAGCCTGGTGTCCTCCATATATTTCAGATGACAACTGTCATCAGCCCACAAAGATTATACTAGATGGGGTGATGGGAGTTGTAGTCCAGAACATCATAAAGGCACCGGGGTTGATTACCTTGCTATAAATACCATCCCAACTTTCTGCCTGGCACCCCCACCCATGTGTTCAATTACTATTCCCATCATCCCTAGCTAACATGGGCAATATAAGATATATGGAGAGCTTTAGGTTGAAGAATCTGGACTATCCATCCAATAACTGCTCATTCTTCTGACCTTTTTTGCATGAGGGATTTTTCATGAATTTGTGATTCTTTCCTCATAAAGGTTCTTGAGATGATGCTGCAATCCTCCAGTTTTGCTTCTGTTTTTAATCTTTCTTAGGGGGTTTTTTAAAGCGTGGAGAAAGTAGAGTATTATTTCTGAATGAGAAAAAGAAGAGATAATTTCCTTCTTGTGTATTTGTGATATTCCACTATTTCGCAGAACTGCCTAGAGCAGTGATGGCAAACCTTTTAGAGACCAAGTACCCAAACTGCAACCCAAAACTCACTTATTTATCACAAAGTGCCAACACTGCAATTAAACCTGAAAACTGAGGTTTTAGTTTAGAAAAAACAACTCACAGCCAGTCCGAGCAAATGTATACATCCTTGGCAGTGCACTGACTGGCCGTGTGAAAGCTTGAACAAGTTGCGGCTAAGGAGTCGCGGTGTGTGGCATCATCACCTGGCGCCGCTACTCCTTTCTGAGCATGTGCATGGCCTTATGTGTGCTGTTATCCAATGCTTGGCTGCTGGGGTGACTTGGCTTGCGTGCCAACAGAGAGAGCTCTGCGTGCCCACTGTGGCACGCATGCCATACGTTCGCCACCACTAGCCTAGAGGTTACATAGCAGAAAGGCAGGAAAAGAAAAGCTCCTTGTATAGAGTCGTTCTTTGATGAAACCAGAAGTAGCTTTGTTGTAGAAAAGCTCTGTCCCAGGGATTGTGACTCACTTATCCTGAGGGATCCCACTTATCCCACTTATTTTCCCTCACATCACACTGAATGAACACTGACAATCTCCTTACACCACAAAGACACCGTGAAGTCTATTTATTTTCTTTCTTTATGTTTATTCACTCTGTTTACATTGAGCTACATTTTTATTGAGCTTCAGGGCAGCCAGCTCTAGCTGCATTGTCTGTTCACCTTTCTTTTGCCTGGAAACAGGTCATTTATAACAGGGTTTTAATGTTTTGCAATGCTTCCATAGTCTAAGTTTGTATAAATGTGGCCCTGTGCGGTGAAACAAAGGAAACCGTCAGGTAGTGAAGAAGTTCAGTGGCGGGAATTTCGTGTTTTCACCACACGGGGGCGGGTTTGCATCATCATTAACTGCGGAAGAGCTGACGGACCTCAGGATAGCCCTGTGGCTGACCTGCTACAGGGATTGTAGGATGATCATTTGAGCCCCATTGTATGGCACCTGCCCTGGACTTGACCAGTTCGTTTAGTAAACCCAGGTACTGAGGAAGCTCTAGCAATAAGCCTATCCATGCCATTGCATTCCCATAAACTTTTAGATCACAATCCTATTCAACTTCAGACAGAGAACAAGGCCTACTGCTCCCAGCATATCCCAGTATGATGCACTTTAGTTCTGTTGAACTAAAAGTTCCATCATTGCTCCTTCCTTCCTTCCGCAGTTTACATAATTCTCCTGCTGCTCTCAATCTTATCCTCATAAAAACAACCCTGTGAGGTAGGTTCAGGCTTGTGCCTGGCCCAAAGTCACTCAGCTGCATGGCTGGACTAGAACCCAGATCTCCTGAGTCCCTGTCCCATGCTTTTAACTACTACACCACACTGGGAATTATGCAAAACATCCTGAAGGTACTGCAGTGACGTAGCCTGTCTTATGGTCATGGAGAAACTCTGCAAAAGAGCTCTCTAGGCATTTGCCACAAGAAAGAGGAATTCTAAGGAGCTTTCTGCTGAAAAACACTGGCCCCCAAGCCGACGTGTTTGTGACCATGTCATTACATTCCAGATGGAGACAGCAGAAGCTTTCAGCATGGTGCTTACCAGGCATCAGAGAGCCATAGAAGCCTCATTGAGCCCAAGAAGCTGCCCAACCCGGTAAAGGAGTCCCGGCACCATCGGGAGTTGCACCGGGAGCTTCTTTTCACACATAGGAGGTGAGTGTGTGTGCCACCCAGAGGCTGCTTGGTGGGAGAGTTGGCACTGCTGCTCAGTATGCACAATCAGAGGGGAAGTGTTCCCACAGGGAACTCAGGCAGCTGATTTTATTAAAATGGAAAGAGCAGAGAACAGAGACAATGCTCTCATTTACATACAATTGTGGTCTTGGGCTTTTGGTTTGTGACTTCTGTGCTAAAATCATTCTGAGGAAGTAGCATACAATGCAGTTTCCACTGCCTTGGTATAAAGTCTTTTGTCCCAGGTATGGGCCAATGAGATCTTTGAAAAGCCCCCAAATTTGGCCGCCTGAGTGCTTGTGGAGGCTTTCCCTGGAGGCCAATAAGGGACGGAGAACTATATCTTTGCTATCCAGGAAGGAAGACACCAGCTGGGACTTCTAATCAGCTTGATGGAGCATTGGGTGAGAAGGGCTAAGGGAAGGGAGAGACTAAATGTGCAATTCCATTCCTAGCAGTTCAGACAACCCATCACTGGAAAAAGAGAGATGTTGAATCTCCACACACAGTACAATTCATTTATGTTATCAGAAGAGAGCTTGTCTTTCATTAAACCTGCTGCCAAACCAAGAGGAGGAGAAAGAAATAGCAGGGGGTTTGGCCAGGGAAAGACTGGCCAAAGAAAGAAATGAACAGGAGTCCTGCGGCTTTTCCTTTATGCTCTGTTGTCCTCCACATAGGGGGCTACTTCCAGAGCACAAACCTGAGCTTCAGAGAGTCCTAGAAGCCAGACGGATCAGGCAGCTGAAGCAACAGGAAGAGATCCAAAAGCCCTTGACAGATTTGGAAGAAGAGCTGAGAAAACGGCAGCAGAAACTTGCCCAGGTATCTGTTCCCCAAGTACCTTCTCCCATCCATGTCTATCACAGTCAAGTCTCTTTATCCACCTCATGAAGTAACTCTCCCACATCCTACCACCAGAGGTGCCTAGTCCTCCCTAACAGGGTCCCAGCGCATCAGGCTGTCTAGGCCATGAGCAGAGCATTCTCATTGGGTTCTCTGCTGGTTTCCATTCATTCCCTGATATGGCCCTCAGACACATCCCTGTCTCATCAATATACCTTCATTTGTCCCTCGCTATGGTGTAAAAGCAGGTTGGCAGGTTTTATCAATAAGGTTGCATTCTAGTACATTCTACTGTACTGAAAGTGTATTTTTTCAGCCAGATGGCCGGGTATATCACCTCTTCCTGCAGCAACCAGCGTTTCTACAGCTTTATTTGCACTGTGCTGTGGGAAGCCTGCTGCTCTGCCAAGATCAGAGTCATTATTCAAGTAAAATGAGACCTGACTAAACATGGGAGTGTTGCTTCAGCTTGAGTGTGAGGAGGCTTGGGTAGATATGACAACAACTGCAGTATAGAAGGAGTGATTGTGATGCTGGTTGGATAGCAGTGATGAGGTTCTCACGATGACTTTCAGTGGATTTTCATCATGGAAATGGAAGCAGATTCCTAGTATAAGGCAAGCCTGAAGGAAGGGACTATTTGTGAGGTTTATAATTATAAATGAATGAATAAATTTTACTGACAGAGATGGGGTGTGCATGTAAGAAAGAGATGATCTCAGACCAGATTACTCCTAGGGGATTTTATGGTTACAAATGGAAGAGGTCAGCTTTATGGCTAAATAGTAAATGCATGCCACTTACAAGTATCTGAAAATGTTAGCAAAAAGCAACACTTTTTGGTACAGGAAATGATTGTGCTTACACAAACGATTTTTTGGGATAAGTATTGAAGCAACCTCTCCAAAGACTAACCAGATGAATCTAATGGATGCAGTGCCCTATTATAAGCAGTACTCCTTTCTGGAGTTCCAACTGCCATGCCCTTTTCTGGGGTTCTCAAAACCTCTGTGTGGTTTTCTGCTTCCCCTTCTCTAACAGCCAACTGGCATTTCATGTTCAATGATCACGGTGAGATCATGCCCACAGAAGAATTTTTTACAAAATATTGCTTATAGTTCTACAAGCCTTGGGCTTCCTTAAAGCCTGCTGAAATCTCTGCCTGGCACCTGGAAAGTGCTGTTTTTGACAATGTAAAGATCCACACCGAGAATCAATTTGCTGTTAGTGTAGAGGAGGATCACAGCAAATGATCTCCTAAGAAAACCAGGAATTACAGGGGTACCTCGGCTCAAGAACTTAATCCGTTCCAGGACCCTGGTTGTGACCCAAATTGGTCATGAGCCAAGTTAAATTTCCCCATAAGGTTCAATGTAAATAAGGTTAATCTGTTCTGTAACCATTTTTTTTTAATCAGAAAAATGTGAAGCAAAGTGACAAAGAACAACAAAGATCGTGGCCATCTCCCTCCCTGAGCACAAATGCGGCCATCTCTCTGCCCCCACAGCACGACCGAGATTGCGCCTGTCATCCTGGGGTGCTGGAGGGGAGAGAGAGAGACGGGCGCAAACAGGGCACACTGGGGGAGGGAGAGATGGGCACGATCTTGACCCTCTCTCCCCCAGCTCCAGCACGAACACGGCCATCTCCCCACTTGGCGGGGTGGGAAGCTGGCTGCGATTGTGCTAGTTGGGTGGGGGGGGGGGAGATGGCTGAGATCGCGCCCGTCTTTCCTGCAGGAGTGCACCCGTGATCATGCACATCTTCCCTGCACAGACACAACTGCGATCGTGGCCATCTCCCTACATGGGGGGTGGGGTGGGGTGGGGAGATGGCTGCAATCTTGGTCACCACCCAATGCGGAGTTCACGACCCAAGTCAAAATTTTCATGAAATTTTTGTTTGCAACCCGATTTGGTCGTGAATCAAGGCGTTCGTGAGCCAGGGTACCACTGTACTATCTCACATTCACTGATTAGAATTTGTCGTGATGATAATTGAAACATTGATAAAGCAAAATTAACTGAAAACAATATGCAAAGTCATAAATAAATATTCCAAAAACAAGGAGGGGGAAAAAACCCAGATCAGAATTCAGAAAGGATGTAGGCTCACTGAAATAAGTCTAGTGGTGCTAAAATATGATCAGAGTATTTAAATTATTAAAGGTAAAGGTTTCCCCTTGACATTAAGTCCAGTCATGCCTGACTCTAGGGGGCGGTGCTCATCTCCGTTTCCTAGCCAAGGGAGCCAGCGTTTGTCCGCAGACAGTCTCCATGGTCATGTGGCCGGCATGACTAAACGCTGAGGTGCACAGAATGCTGTTACCTGCCCACCGAAGTGGTACCTTTTTATCTACTTGCATTTGCATGCTTTCGAACTGCAAGGTTGGCAGGAACTGGGACAGAGCAACGGGAACTCGCTGGCGACCTTTTGATCAACCAGCCCAGCAGCATAGCGGTTTAAACCACTGCGCCACCTGCAGTCCCTTAAAATGAAAATTAAGAAACACATGTAAATGCTAAATTTTTGTTGGGGCTCAGAACTTTGGGGAAATATCCAGGTACAAGATCTGCAAAGATATGAGCAAAGGAATATTAGAGTTAGAATTTAGTTTAAAGTTTGGCCAGAAGGTCAATTTTTTAATTTTTGTATTTTTTATCTGCAACCTGTAACCTAGTTGGGTGTTTCTACAGGTCAGAGAGCAACATACAACTTCAAGTACAGAATAGCTCTCTGATACAGAAAACTTTCCCAATGTTTCACAATACTTGGTGCTTATGTCACTTCACAACTTTTGCTACTTTTGCTACTGTTCAGTAGAGTCTAGATTTTTTTCAAAATGCTTTCTCTGAGTTTAGAGTGGTAAGCCGTCCTGAGATGTCTGAGATGGGACAGTACAGAAAAATTTTAAATAAATAAAATAAAAATAAATAAGCCAGCTGCACCTGCTTCTGGAGGCAGACGTAGCCATAATCACCCATTATCAGTTAAATCACACCTTAAGTACTGCAATGTACTCTTTATGGCTGCCCTTGAAAGCCACTTGGAAATGTCAGTAGGTATAAAATGTCTGACCAGGGCCAAATGCTCATAGCACATGGCCTCTTTATTACATCGGCTCCACTAGCTATCACTGAATTTCTGGGTGCAATTTAATGTGCTGATCATGATTTTTAAACTTCTGGGTGGCTTGTAGCCAACCTGATTAAGCTACTTGTCTCTTCCTGTGTGGATCTGTCCATCGTCAGAGATTAGCTGAAGCTGCCCTCTCGTGTGTGCCAGGGCCTTCCAAGGTCCAGCTGGAGGCAGTGACCTGCCTTCAGCAACATGCTGGGGCTCACGATTTCAGCCACGGTGAGCTGCAGCATGCGCCAGCTACGACTGACACATGCAACTCTCAATCTGGCTCTACTTCACAGCGGCTGGATTTGCACCACATGTTCAACCCCTTGGAAACATAGTAGAAGTTCTCTGTGCCTGACAGGTCCAGCAGGTCCTCCTCCTTTTTCCTGCTTCTCTGAAACAAAGAAATGGGGAATTGAGCTGCAAAAGGGGAACAAGGACCCCTTTCCATGAACTGCAGTCTCCTCATTTTGCTTGACAGGTTGGCTCTGTGCAAAGGAGAGTGGGGAATGCCTTCATTTGTTAAAAACAGTAGGTGATCACAGGTAGCCCTCAAGAGACGTACCACTGGGCATTGTTGGGAGTTCACCTCCCAGTTGCCCCCAAACAGGATCAGGCAGGCAGGCTTTAACTCAGCTTTTGCAATCTTAAAAAAGGGGGTTTTTCTAATGCCAAGCCATGGCCAGCACCAAGTGGCTCACTTGGTGAGGCGGGGGAGGGGGGGAACCTTCCCCAGTTGTCTCCAAGTGCCACTTTGGCACTTTGGGTGCCTGGGTAAGGTGGGCACCTGCCAACCCCTTGGCTAGAGCAGTGAGCCCTTCTGCCACACTTCCCCGGGGGCCCTCTAGCTTTTTGCCTTGACCATGGCTTATTTTTTTCCGTGTTCAGACAACACAATAATCTATGGAGGGTTTATGAAACCCTACGATAAGCCATGGCTCGTTGGGGTGGTCTCTAAGCTACCCCAGGATGGCTTATAAACCATCTTGCAGGAAGAGGTCTAAGTTTGGACAACATGCTAAGCCACCATGGCTGATAAACCACTATGGCTCAACAGGTTATATGAACCCATCTAATAACATATGTAAATCTAGCTATTGAGGGTTATGCAAAGGTAAACAACCCTCACAAAACCGTGCAATAAGCCAAGGGTTATGTTGTTTGGCCCTTGCATAACCCCCAATGGCTGGCTTTGAACAAGATGGCACCCCAACCCCCCACTCAGAGATGCATGTTCAAAATGTTCATGATGATTGCCAGGAGCACCAGTGTTAAAGGGGCTATGGGGCTGTGTGGAAGAACCTCTCCTGTGACAGCAGCGGCGTATGGACTCCTTACCTCAAGATACTAGATCTTCCTCTTTACTTGCTCCTCCAACCTTTGAAGCTATTTCTTTTTCAGCAAGAGACCGACTCTCTTACTGAAGCTACTACTTGTTTGGCTCCTTGAGTTCTTTTATGGGCTGTCTTCAGTCTGGTGGCACATGTGCTATTGATTTGGTTATTTTAATGATCAAGGTTGGAAGCAAGTGACTGCTGCTTTCCAGAAAGCTGGATCTCATTTGGAAAAAGGACGGCTGCTTAGAATATAAAGCTTTTCAAGGTCTTTCAGATTTTTGTATAAGTTCAGAAACATGCAAAACTTATTTCACAAGGAGCAGCACAAAATCTGTAATGTGCAAATCAAGGGCAGCAACTCCTCCTTCAAAGCATTTTCAGCTCTCTGTTGTCACTTAAGTTCTGGAGGGTAAACTGTAATGTAACCGAGTGCCATGAGATACTGTGGCAGAGAGGAAGCTTGTAGCCTGATCATTGTGTGGAATTTCTGCTTTGGTCAGACTTACTGTTTCCCCCCCTCCCTTGCAGTATGAACGAGAGATGACCCTGAAAGGAGAGCAAGATGGCAGGCCTGAATTCATCCTCGTCAAAGAGAGCCTGAAGAAAATCACACTGACTACTGAAACAGACATAAGGCAGACATGAAAAGGGAGCTGCAGGTGCCGTTCTGTCAGAAGGGCTCCCTGGCAGAAGATCACACAAAGCAGGCCGATGTGGGACAAGGGCATCTTCAAAGGTGGCCCCCACAGCCTCCTCGCCCTTGCCCACCGAGTCAACGCTCCAGCTCCCCACAGGGACGGGGCAGCACGGCGAAGGCAGAAGGGTGGACTATGCACTTGATAAACTGGCTTTGGGATATAGATATGACTGTTAAAGAGGCAGTGCTACGGAGACGGATGAGCAGACTGGAACCTGTCTCGGAGGCTATGCATCGTCAGCATGGCTGTTTTCAAGTATGTATTTTTCATTCCACTTTTTAATGAAGAAAACATTGCCATTTTATGGCATTGCAACATTTACTAGACTCCCAGCCCCAACTGAACCCTTGTTTTCTTTGGAGAAAAAAACCCAAGAAATTTGCTAATAATCTCTTGAGTTAGCTCCAACACTGCCAACTTTTTAAACGCACAGGGCTTTTCGGCATGAGGCATTCATTTGCACTCATGATCCCTCACTCATGGAACTCTGTGGGTCTTTTCACAATGCAGATGTCCTCCAGAGTCTCCCCCATCTTTTCCAGTCATTTTTACTAAGCTTTTCAGAGCAAGGGAAATGCAGTATTAAATTTCAAACCAGAACAACAGGAATGAAAGCCTTAGGTAACGTTGCAATGTCACTGTACTGCAGCTATACCACATTGCCACCCTGTGATTGGTTAATAGAATATGTACTAAGGCAGAGAATACAAACCCTGGGGTAGGGGGAACCATATAAAGGACATACTTTTCCTCCTGCAAGGAAAATGGTCTCAGTAAAGGAACAGGTTAAACCCCTCATGTGAAGAAACTGTTGAATAGGAGACACATAAAGGATACAGTCACGAGCAAAGCTAATTTTGGCATGGATGATTTTGTGGGAGAGTGTGTCCTTGCTGCCAAGATGACCTGCTTCAATTTGTGCTTGTTCTCTGTCTGTCTGTCTGTCTGTCTGTCTGTCTTTTGTCTTTTGTACATTGTGTACTTGTGACCTCTTGTCCATGGAAAGTTGGAATTTGTTTACGTGCTGTTGCATCCTCTTAGGGCCCTTCCTGTGTTTTCCAGCCCTTTCATGTCTTTTTCTTTTAGCAAGGATAATCAAGTATTTTCTTAGATGATGCTACTTGTCACCATGGAAGCCTGTAAAATCTAAATTCCATGCTATAACACAGCATTGACTTGTGTTTTTGTGAAGATAAGACAAGACCGGGAGGAAAAGAATTATGCAAGCCACCTTGAGTTCCTTGATAGGAAAAAGGGATGGGATATAGATATAATAAACCAATTAATTGATTAATTAAACAATGTTTTTCATAATTTTTTAATTAAAATTTTAAACCAATACTAAAAACATCAGTCATCACATACATCAGAACTACTGGGTCAGCCCCTTACTACATATCTTTTAACATTCTGTAATCATATTCAGATTCATTTATGATAACTTAAAAACATTTTTAGATCTAAACCAAGTCCCGTTTTTCCAGCCAATAAAAAAAGCTGTTCCATATTTGATAGAAGTCACTATCTTCTTTCTCCTTCAGCAGTAAGATCAGTCCATCCATTTCTTACAAAGTCCCGTTTTTCTTAACCAATGCTAAAAGAAAGAATCTCCAAATTTGATGAAAGTCAGTATCTTCTTTCTTCTTCAGTAGTAACTTCAATCTGACCATCTCCACACAATTCAAGACCTTTTCATTTTTCTAATGCTAGACAAATAGACTCCTCACTACAATAGTTACAAATAAAATCAAATACATTTCTTGTTTACTAGTATTCCAATCCAATATCTACTAAAAAGAAAAACGAAAAAGAAGAAAAGTTCCAAGTTTAAAAAAGAACTAAAGACTTTTAACCCAAGTTATGTTCACATATCTAACATCCATTTATCATCTTTAGACATCTTAGCTAATCTGTCTGATGACAACAATTACCTATAATATCTTTTAAACAAATGTTCTTTGAGCTAATTTACTAAAGTTTCATCTAGCTTACACATCACTTAGTCACATACAATTAAGCTCCTTATAAGAGCCCAGCTCCTTACATTCTTTAATGTATTTCACTTATTAAAAAAAATCCACTTAGTACAGCTTCTTCTACGCCAATAATAATCATTTTCTAGTATAGTAACTCAAGGACAAAGGAGTCATGTAACTTAACTTTTGGTTGTTCATTTTTAAGATTAAAAAAACTCTTATTTTTCCTTATGTCACCAACCAAGAAAAAACTCAACTCTTTATCTTTCTTAGTTCAATTTAGATCATATCTTATAATCTCTTCATAATTCAACACATTTAAATGTAGAGAAGCTTCCACATTGAAATCATATAACTTAGCCTTTCTATACCACAATAAACATGCCAACCCACTTATATCATTCCTTTTTAAGATAACAAATTCTCTCATTTCTTTTTTACACCTCTGCCCCATCGCCCTTGTTTTGATAAAGCTAGTTGAAAATCAATATTTTTCAACTTTACACCTCTGCCCCATCTTTCTCTGGTTAATGGTACTTGTTGAAAATCAACACTCTTCAATGACTGTATTTCAATATTCACTATTTCTTGCTTTATTTTCAATAAATGTAGCATTTGCTGTAGGTCAGTGTTTATTCCCAATGGCTGTGTTTCTTGCTGCAAATCAACATTCACTGTCTCTTCTTCCTCAGAGTCATATGTAGTTAGTTCGAGATCCATCCATCCTTCAGAAAAAAATATTCCTTCTTTTGATGGCCACAATTGTTTCTCTTTCTCTAATATAACAAGTAAATCCCATGATAGCTTATTTATTGGTTTTGCAGATTTTTGTTTCTTTATCCACTGTTTCAAATTTTTCATATACTTGTTGTGTTTTTTGAATATTCGGTTCAGTTTTGGATTGTACACCAACCAAAACCTCCTAAAAGAAGCATCAAGTTTATCGAAGCGCTCTTTTTGTTCAACTGAAATTTTTTCCTGTTTTATCAACATCGCCTCTTGGGATATTTCTAAAGCTGTTAAAGATTCCTGTATTGCCAGGAGTATTCTCTTGAGCTCTTCCATCGTTGTAATAATTCCAGTAGTCACAAGATGGCAGCAAAGGCCAACTACCACTTCTTTTTCCTCTAGATCACTCGCAGACAGAAGGTTGGCAAATTGCCAAATTCTTTGGCAGGGGTCCCAGAAACGGAGGGGAGAAAATGGCAACTCGACAGGCAAATTATATCCTTCTATCAATTAATTCCACAATAGTTATTATTTTAATTCTTCACTCTTGGGGAGATCAGAACAGAAACAAAGTCCTTTTTTTCTCAGTTCCAACTTTCACACGCACTTCAAACTCTCTCTTTCCCATATAAACTTTAAATCCTCTCTCCATATCATTTACTGCTAAAAACACCGTGGGGGGAAGAGTTCCTCCTTCCATCAAAGGGTCTTTTTTTCCCCCTTCTTTATGCCAATTAGCAACAGATATAGTTTTTCCACAAGTAGTATTGTAAAAGGAGAATAGGAATGCTCAACAGTCATCACATTAGAAAGGAAACACCACACAATATGAAAAATATCCTGGCGAGTGTCCAGTTAGTCTTGGCAGAAGTCCGAACAGATATCCAAAATAATCGCTCTAAGTTTTAACCTTCTATCACTTATTTCCACAGTAATTATTTATTTTAATTCTTCGCCCTTAGAGAGGTTAAAGGAAAAGATCTTTTTCTTTGACTTCAACTTGGACAAAAGCCTCAACACTCTCCATATCAGTTGCTGCATAAATATCAGGAGGGCTTTCTTCTTCTTTTCTTTATGCCAATTAGAAACAGATGCAGCTTTTCCACGGGTAGAATTCCAAAAACAAATAAAAAATAAGAATATTTACTCAGCAGTTCTGATGCTTATCTAGCTAATAAAAATCCTAAGCTAATTCCAAAGATGTCGAGAACTTGTAGGGGCTAAAAAAAAACCCCTGTGTTGCTCGGTTGAGAAATGCCTGAATTTCTCCCAGTGGATATGGGATTGCCTTCCCACATCGAACCAGAAGAATGCCCAGGTAATTTGTCTTCACTCCGGCAGAGCTTAGATGAGCCTCCCACGACTCACTGCTGAGCAATACCAGTGTGATAACAGGAACTCCATTAATCACAGCCATCTCGTTCTGATGCCATCTTGAAGTCCAATTAAACAATTTTTAAAAGATAGTAAAACCCATGTGTAAAAGGGTGTTCTTCCTCTCACAAAGAACCCTCAAAGCACCATGTAGAGAATTCCTAACTCTCCTTCTCTTTCTCTAGCAGAGGAGAAAGCATTAAGGATAGTGAGACAGTTGACCATGAGCCAGAGTTGGGTTGGGATGGTGGGGAAGATGCCTACTTCATAAGACTGGGAAGTGTCATTTTCAGGATTTGCCAAACTTGATAACCATGGACTTCAAACCATTTAAATAAAGTGGATTAAAAATAGAGAGTGCAGATTAAATATACCTGATTTCATAAATTAAGCACAGGCAGCAAGTTCAATTCCCTTCATTTTGTGAATTGCTGCAATTTCCCAATATTATTAGTTTTCATTCAGTTTGCTGCTATTGGATGGTTCAACAGATATTCATCTATCTATAAACAGAACTAAGTAATGTTAACATTGGTTGGAGTTTTTTGGTCCTCTAGATTTGCTTAGTTGCTTTATGATTCCTTTAACCAGCAATCATCTTCCAAACATTTGAGAGCATTTTAAGAGACATTACCAGGATTTTTTCTATACAAATCACCTCCTTGACCAAAGGGGTATAGATAAGAGATTTAGGATGCAATCCAACTGGTATGCCCAGAACCCTCTGAACTCAGAGGATCAGGGGCATCCTATGTGGGGTGGAAGGAGTGCAGAAGCAAAGGATCCCCCTATACGCCACCTGATTTCAGCCCTGAGTGTCATGCACTGAAGTGCACAGAAAGGAGGCTGAGGCACCACCAGAAAAATTCCCATCATGATGGCAGCACCCGTCCCCTCTTGCCCCTGTTTCCCAGAGTGCTCACAAAAGCTCTCCTCTGAGGATGTCTTTGCAACTTTGAAGAAGCAGCTGGCATGGTTCTTTCTTCTGCATTCACTGCAGATGGGGGACAGGGAGAGAGATGGTGGGGAGGTTGAGCTGGGATTGTGATACCCTATGGCAGCCTAGAAGCTGCTTAGCAGCTATAGGGTTCTGCTGACAGCTGCAGTCCTATAGCCTTGTATCTGGGGGGATGCTCCACTGAGCTCAGTCCGTCTTACTTTTTAGTGGCTATATATCAGATTGTGCTGTTCATTGTTTCTAGACAGATGAGTTCAGATCTTCAGATATCTCCCTTGTTTCATGTTGTTTCTAGTTATTCTATTTATGCATGGTTATTGTGTATGTTAAATTACCTGTATCTATTTTGTATTGTTTGCCAATTCTGGGAAATAAATATTTTAAAAAATAAATAAACATATTTTATTTTTTGTTTTAAAGTATAATTGTAGATTTGGTAGAAGTCAAAAGAAGGTATTAAACTATTACATTCACTATCACAAGAGGTAGTGATTATTACCAGTCTGGATGGACTATACACATTCACAGAGGATAAGGTTTTTAATATCTAGTAGTAAATGGCCGTGTGCCTCCGTACGCTGTTTGCTCGGAACCATGAGTGGAAGGCTGCGACTGCACTCAGGCTTTGTTTATGGGTTTCCAACAGGAAGCCGGTTGGCTGCTGTGTGAACAGGAAGTTGGACGAGATCTGATCCAGCAGGGCTCTTCTTATGTTCTTAAAATATATTGCAATATCCTTCACAAAGATGGATTATCCACTTACTTGTCACACACAGCAAAATGAGAAGGCATTTTTTTTCCTGAACTCCAGATGTAAATAAGAAGCAGAAGAATAAAAATTTGTTTGTTTAAATAAATGTGTATCCTGCCCTTCAGTAATAGACTGAATTGGCCACTTTTGCTGAGCTTCTGGAATAAGATGGCAGAGCTACAGTTCTTTCAAAGAAAGAAAAACTATTTCTAAGGTAATTCAAGGGCTAGTGCCTCCACCAATCAGAGAACGTGCCAGCAATGTCACCCCCAGTGGAGGGAGCCAATAGAATCGCAAACAGTGGGAACACCCCCAGCATGCTCCCCATCATCATCACTAGGCCCCAACACACACAGCAATCTCAAAGTGCCCCCTTTCCAGCAGGGCCAGTGTCACAGCCAGCATCTACCCTGCTCCTGCAAGTCCCCAAGCATCCTTACAACCAGGGCTCAAGTCCCCTTATGCTACTCTCTGGAGCAGAACACAGAAAGAATAAAATTCAAAACCACATAAAACAGCACTCACAAAGCCCTTTGGGTAAGGGAGCTGCAAAAGGGCACCCCTGGGAACACAGGAGTTCAGATGCCCACAGTGAGAACGCAACTCTTTTGCCAAGCAAACCAGAGGAAGTGTTGTGACAGTCAATAAGGTGAGTCACAGACAGTAACAGATTGCAGCAGGATCTAGTGATCTACTAAAGCTAGTAGCCACTGATAGCCTCCTCCCTGATGAAACTGTCCAATCCCTTTATAAAGCTGTCAAGATTGGCAGCCACCAACAGTTCCTGTGGCAGCGAATTCCATCGTTGGAATTCCAACTATATGCCTTGTGAAGAAGTACGTCTAAACCTCCCACCAATCAGCTTCATGGGATGTTGTTATGGTCAACCTGGAGTAGCCTACACAGCCAGACCACACTGACTCCAAGAGACAGAAACTTCCTTTTTGCAACCAATAGCAGGTTTCTACTCAAGTAAAAGGCCAGATCACCTGGTAATGACATGCAGATAACCTGGTTGAGTTCATTGATAAGCTAAGTACCATTACTTAACCAAAATGCTCAGAAGTAAACTGTCCAGGTGCCTGAACAACAGTGTTCTCCTAAAATCTGTCTGAGAACTATTTCAGGACAGCCAGCAGACATGCAAACAAAAGATTTCTCTGGAATCTCCACTCAGTCAAGAGCTGAGGGACGAGAGGTGATCTATTCCGTTGAAAAAGGAATTGGATCCTGGCCTTTCTCTTCCAGCACAGGTGCACAGGTGCCAAGAACAAGTCTCCCTGGAATGAAGGCAGCTTTAGGGAAGCTTAAGAGTCAAGTTTTAGTGTTAGTAACTTTCTGAAAAACACGTACCCTCATAAACATAACTGAAATATCTAGCAGCAAGTATAAAAGATTAAGGGGAAGGGTCCCACTGAAGAACCATACTTTCCCCCGATGACTGGAGACTGCAAATGTTCAATAGTTTTGAGAGTTCAGATGGGGCTCATACTGCAACTAAGCCACTAGCCCTGACAGGCAATCTTGACATTAGTATTATGTGAAAGGACAATTTCCTTTTATGTCTTTATTACAGCCAACTGCTCAGTTGCACCCCAGAATGCCAAAATGCACATTCTGCTTCCTTACAGAGCTTCTGAAATCAGGTAGATCTGCACATTCTAGTGGTTGTTTAGTATCATTTTCTAACTTTTCATGAAAACAAGAGGAAGTTACCACCGCTTTAAAAAGAACAACACAAAAACCACTCCTTTAATCAACACTGAGCTGGTTAGATAAACGTGGTTTGGACAGTCCTTAGCAGCACTGAAGACTCTTTGGTGGATCTTTGGTTGGAGATGGAAACTACTGAGCTGAAGACAGGACCAACAGCTACCCAAAGCTGGAGTACTGGTTTGGAATCATTGACTATTGATTACACTGACGATGACATCTGCCTCCAAGAAGAATTGCCATTTGCCTTTGTCTTTATCCCCACCCTCTACATGGTAATCTTCTTCACTGGTTTCTTTGGCAATCTGTTTGTGATCCTGCTGATGGCAAGAAAACAAAGCCGCAAGAGGCTGGTGGACATCTTTGTCCTCAACCTGGCCATCGCTGACCTAGTCTTCGTCTGTACTTTGCCCTTCTGGGCTCTATCAGAAGCTCTCAGCTACTGGTGCCTGGGCGAAGGGCTATGCAAGTTTAGCAGCTATGCTCTGTCTGTAAATCGTTATTCTAGCATGCTGTTCCTCACAGGCATGAGTGTGGAACGTTTTCTTGTGATGTCCAAACACTGGGATTCAAGGGCCATTGGAACCAAGAAGAACATTTGCTTGAGCTGTGGCGTCATCTGGCTGATCTCCTTTCTGCTGGGAATACCATCTCTCATCTACAGAAAGCTGGTTTTTGTGGGAAACGACGAATATCTGTGCCAGGGCGAGGAGCCCTCTGCCACCTTCAATTTGTTTATATTTGCCTTGACCTTCCTGCTGCCTTTGGGAATCATCTTGTTCTGCTATTGCTCCATTTTCTCCAAGCTTCGAGGCCGTGCCAGCTTAGGCAAGAGGCGAAGCAATGCCCTTAAAATCATCTTTGCCATCATTGGAGCATTCATCTGTTCTTGGTTGCCCTTCAACACCTTCAAAGCCGCCTTCATCATGGTCCAGAAGACAGATCTCTCCTGCAAAGCGTTGACAGCTCTCAAGTGGGGGGTGCATATCAGCATTTGCCTGGCTTTCACAAACAGCTGCATTAACCCTGTCATCTATGTCTTTATGGATCAGCAATTCCGACAGCAGGTCTGGAAAAACTTCCCTGCCTTTTGTAGCATGAGGGGAAACATACAAAGCTCAGCTCTCTCCCTTTCATCTACAGAGTCAAGTCTCTTGTTTGCCGGCAGGAAGAAGCCTGCCCAGATGGGGAACCCAAGCAGCAGAGTGGTAGGCTTATAAGCAGCCACGGGAAGCCCATTGTTGGCCTGGACTGCTGGAGATCTGAGCCGTGGTGGTCATGGAAAGATGGGGAGGGGAATGGTCTAGAATGGTCTACATTAAGCTTGCCTGAAAAATGGGTACATTTTGGCTAATATAAATTACAATAAAATCAAAACATATTTTGCTATGCATTGCATGTACTCAGCAATACTTACAAATTGCCCTTGATTTCTATGGCATAATATGCTTGGCGTTTTAGCATTTGCAGTGCTTTATAAAGCTATTTCTGCTTGCTTAAGTGGAGGGATTCCACAGTTGAGTATAAACAACGGGCTGTAATTATAACCATGCATGAAAAGTGCTGAAAAGTTAATGCTGTTGAATTTGTTTAGCTACAAGCCCCTGCAGCTCGCTTTCTCTTCCCCCAGATTAAAATTTCCTGTTGCTTTTGCAAATTTGAAGATTTTTCAGTGGAAATAGGTTTAGGTTAGTATAGAAGAAAAACGGTATTGTGATTCTGCAACAGATACTGAACAAAGCAGTCAGCTAAGCAGGCAGAAAGTGACCTCCAACCATGTATGCTTAATTAAAGATACATATCTCATTAAATACTGCTTTGTTGCTGTTATAAAGCTTTTAAAAATTGCCTTTCAGAAAATTTTGTTTCCCTTATGTCTGGGTTTTTCTGAAGTAAGCCTTCTTTTTTGATTAAAATTTCAGTATAAAACTACATCCATGTGTGATCTGATTCTTATTCCTTAAAGAAGCAAGAAAGCTCTGCAAACATGCACCTGTGAATTTCAACTTTAGTGCATTATTTGGGGCTCTGTTCAAGGCTGCTAATTGGCAAAGGTTTTATTCATCAGCATATGCTTCACAAACAGAAACCTTCTCTGTCTTCATCACGCTGTATTTTTTTTATGTTCACTATCTGGGATAGCGCAGTGAGCAAAAATATGGGTTGTGAGCCACAAGTTCCAGAAGTCCTAGCTGAAATTTCACAGCTACCAACGACACAGGTACCAGCTGCCACCATCAAAGTAAAACAAATCTAGTCCTCTCCATCCACAAGACCTCTTGAACTGTTGAGAACAACTGGCCCAAGATCCCCATAGGACTTTTTTGTTGCTTCCTTGAGTTGATATGGAAACACAGCACTGGTTGCAGGCTTTGCTCAGTGTGTTGAGTGCAACCTGGTCTTTAAATCAGCATTAGTAGGACCAAGAATGCCCTTAGTTCCCTTTAGAGCCTTCTCACTTTCATCCCTGATGCACAGAGTGTGGGTTTTGATGAAAACAAGGTAACAGATTTATTAGGATTCAGTTTAAAAATGCAGATCAGAAAAAACATTGGCAAGTCTCAGGGTACCAAGCAATAAATGGTTTAAATGGATAATTCAGTGGCAAATGTCAAATTAAGACAAAAACAATCTAGCTCTTACAGTGTTACATTCAGCTGCCAAAATGGTTCTGGAAGTCCCATGGTCTCCAGGGTTAATTCCTCTCATGCCTGTATCAGCCTCTTTCTGGAACAATTACGCTCTAAGATGTGTACCAAAGAACCGCCCCCCCCCCCCAACCACTTGCTCCATGATTTCTACATTTTTTCAGGAGTCTTTGATGAGGCACTTTGTCAAAAGCCGTTTGGAAGTCCAAGTTAACATCCACCAGATCACCCCATCTATGTGCTTACTGATGTTCTCAAATAACTTGAATGAATAAGCTAAAAAGGACTTGTCTTTGTGGAAGCCATGATGATTCTTTTTCAGCAGGGCATGCCCTTCTATGTGCTTCCTGATCCTATCCTATCCTATGTTTTCAACCAATTCATTCAAAACAGACATGTAGCTAACCAGCCTGTAATATCTGGGACCCCCCTCTTTAAAGAGCAAAAGGCGGACAATGGAAATACATGGCAATTTCTCCCAGTGGAGGGATGTAACCACTGGGGTTCCACAAGGTTCCTGTATTAGGACCAGTACTTTTCAACCTATTCATCAGTGATCTGGAATTAAGAGTAAGCAGTTAGTGGTCAAGTCTTCTGGTGACACTATTTAGGGTGCTTAAAAGGGATTGTGAAGTGTTCTAAAGCTGGGAGAATGGACATCCAAATGGTAAATGCAATTCAAGGTAACCAAGTGGAAAGTAATGCACACTGGGACAAAAAGTTCCACCTTCAAATACTGGCCAATGCGGCGCCAGCTAGCAGTGACAGATCAAGAAAAGCGTCTTGCAGCTGCTGAAAGTGTCAACCCAGTGCACAGCTGCTGTGAAAAAGCCAAGTTTGATGTTAGTCATAATGAGGAAGGGAATTGAAAATAGAACTGCCAAGGCCATATTCTTTTTATACAAATTTGGTGTGACCACACTTAGAATATTGTGTGCAGTTTTCATCCTTGCACCTGAAAAAATGACATTATTGTGTTGGGAAAAGCTCAGCAAAAGGGAGCTAAAGCGATCTGGGAGTCAGAGCAATTCCTCTATGAGCAACGGTTTGGAAGTGCTGTACCAGAGGGACCATAGGTCTGATCCAGCATGGCTTTTCTTATGCTCTTATATTCTTGCTGAATTTATATTTCAACCACCCTCCTAAAAGCATGGGGCGGCACACATGGCTCTCTCTCTCTCTCCTTACAACAACCCTATGAAGTAGCTTAGATCAAGAGTGTGTCTGGCCAAGTTTCATGGCTGAATGGGGATTTCCACTCCCAATCCAACACTGCAACATTTCCCAAGGCTATTGTGTAAGGACAACGGAAAGAGAATGCGTATACCATAAAGTCCAAAGGGCAGAATGGTCAACCAGCAACGTTAAGGAAGCTATTAGGGAAAAAAAGATTTCTTTCAGAAAATTTAAGTATTCTCCAAACAAGGAAAACTATAAAATGAATGCACGCAGACTGGGCTTGGGTAAGTTATCTTTCTGTTAGACCCATCAGTTAGTGGCAACTGATTTATGACTGGGCAACCTCTTCTCCACATGAGAAACATTTTGTGAGGATGCTCATAACTTTTTCAAAATTCCAAATGTGCTTACCAACTCAAAAAGTTGGTGGATATCTTATTGACAGATTGCACAAAAACGAATCACCAGCTCAATATTTGATTTGAGAAAGTATTCAAATGTGAAATTACTGATCTTCTAAAGATGCATGATAAATCCCAAATATTGGCTTTAGTACTAGACTACTGTAAAATTGTTAATGTAGAGCAAATTTTTGAGGCGCTATCAAAGGGAAACCCAGATAATTAAAAGTCAGTTTGCTGAACTACTGCTCTGGCTAAATTGCTGGAAAACATTATTAAAGATGAAACTATCAAGCATAATACAAGCTTTGCCGAAGAAGAATCAACTTAGCTTCTGTGAAGGGTAAATCTTTTCTCATTAATCCTTTAGAGTTCTTCAAAATTAACAAGAATGTGAATAGTGTTTACTTGGATTTTTAAAAATCTTGTTCTTAGATGATTTGAACTTTGGTGTTAACAATCAAATGGCCAATAATTGATGATACCCAATTATTTAGAGGAATTAAAAGAAAACGGGACACAAACTGGGGGAATGGCCATTACAAAGGCAAATGCATGCAAGCGTACACTCAGGCACATGGGAACAACAAATCCTAATTTCATGTATACATTGAGCAGCCTAACCTATGAGAGGCTGACCAGGAAAGGGGCTTGAGGGGTGGTGGACAGCTTCATGAAACTGTTGGGCTAATGTATGGCTGCTGTGAAAATGGTACAGTCCTTACTAAGGACTATTAAGAAAGAGATGATGGCAGATTGTGGGCCCTCAGAGGGAGAGGCAAGGGGTCACCAACCACAGGAAGTTTCCACACCCAACAGTCAATTTCAGCTCACCACATTTTTTCAACTGCTGTTTTATTGCTGTCTTTCTAGATTGCCCCAAGAAATTCATTTGTCTAAGTAGCGCATAATCGTTTTCAACCCACTGCAATTTTCCCAGATTCGGCAATTCATTCCAACCCACCATGATTTCCCCCCCAGTATTCATTGACCAATGAATGAAAAACAAACCAAAAACACAATTCCTGCCCTCTCTGTTTCCTGCAAGAAAGCCAAACTCACAGATAACCTTAGAAGGCACAAATCCAACCCACAGTGCAAAGCAAGCAGGCGGCAGGCAACAGTTGAAGACCATGCCATGGAGGACCTCGCAAGTCGGGCTCCGACTAGTCCTGCAGTCCAAAGCAAGCAGGGAGAGAGCACAGCGCCCTCAATCACAGCATCAACTCAGTTCACGCTGCAGTTTCTCTGAAGCGCTGAGCGGCTAAAGAGAAGTTATCACAACATCACAACAATTTTGACTGGTTCACTGAAGTGTGCCCCGTGATTTGCCCACTGCCCCCTTTTTCCCTCTTTAAGCTGCTCCTGTTGGCGGTTGCTGCTGGGCACTGGGGCTTTGCTCTTTCTCTTTGTCAACTTCTGCCCGGTTCTGGAGGAGCCCCAGTACGGTCATCCTCCACAAAGCCCTCCATAAGCCTCCCCAGTACATTTGAACTGGGAAAAGGTTCCATACACACCGTGTATGTGCAACCAACAGACCGCAGCAAAGTTACTCAGGTATACCATTGCTGCAGAAACCAGCAATGCTGCACAGCTGTGGGGTCAGGGGACATTGTGCACCGGCACTTTAATTATCACTTTGTCTGGAAAAGAACTGAAAATAACACTGCCAGTCCACTGTGCCACCAAACACTGGCTGCCACTCCTGCTGTTGTGGGAAGGGAACAGAGGAGACACACTGATTGTAGCTATGGTAGAAGCCTGAATTGCACCATGATTTCTATGGGCAGTCCTCACCTCTGCCACGGGGAGAAGGAAAAGAATGAAAGACCCTTGAAGGTAGACAGATCAGGCGCACCTAACGCCAAGAGCAGTTCCACCATGGAGCGATGGCGCTGTCTGCTGAAAAAAGGACAATGGAGGCAAGTGGAATCAGTCCACTTGAGCCTCAAACCGCATTGCAGTGTGAACATTGAAAAAAAATCTGCTGCCCATCCCATACTGACTAGACCTTAATTCAGGCCAGTGGGTACAAGGCAATGTTTTGTAGCAAGCCCCGACTTGTAATTAAGGGTACACTCCTGTGTAAGCGCCAGCAGAAATTTGTCCTACTTAGAACCTGTGTAGGACTTTGTTTCTTTAAAAAAAAAAAAAAAGAGTTGTAAGACTTTTTCCTTTTTGGTAGTAGGATAACCTTCTGTTTAAATATGCAAAGAACTGAATCCTAAGCTATTCAGAAATTAAATAATGTACGCTTAAAAGCAAACATTTGCAACGAGGTTTTCCTCTGATGGATATGCTGTACCATTAAAAAACATTTCTTGTAGACTTTGCAATTGGGATAAAAAACAATAAAGATATAATAAATATTTAAACCACCCCATAATAGCCTTTTTTTAAAAAAAAAGGGGGTGAGTTTTTGCAGCTGGAGAAAAATGAAATGTGACATAGTTGAAACCAGTGCTGACTAATTATGAAAAGCAAAGAGAGACTTTGATTTACAGTCCCATCATAACTTTTGCTGAAACGTATCCTAATATTAGATTATCAACAGGGTCAGTACCAGTACCACATAATGCAATTTAAAGATAAAGACCAATCAGTTAGGAGGGAATTTAATGTGCATATTATTTCCTCAAACATAAAA